CGCTGCTTCACGTTACGGCGATCGTAATTTCTTAAGTTCACGTTACGACCGTTACGTTACTTCGCGTCCGTCGCGTTCCGTTACGTTAAATTCATCGTAATCCCGGCATTACGCGTTAAGGTGCCTTTTCATGCTGACGCTCGACGCTCATTTTCAGCGGCAAGAAGATCGCATGACCACAATTGACGCCGGCGTCAATTGAAATTCATGAAAAGGAAAACAGCGTCAAAATTTCGGCGTCTTCGCGCTGCTTTGGCTTTGACGCTTGAAGTTGGAAAAATCCAACTTCTCTTTCTTGACGCTGGCATCATAGTGATGTCACGTGACGTCGCTCAACGCTGTTTTTCAGCGTCCCATGAATTGGCACCTTAAATCTGTGCTCAGGTAGCAAAAGCAAAAGCTGCTCAGGTAGCACGTTGGGGATCTCTGTTTTCTATTACTGAACTGCAATGGCTGCACCTAGTTCAGAGTTTATCTTTTTCCTTCCAATGTGGAGTAAAAAAGATAATCTCCGAACTAAGTGCAGCCGTTATTTCGAGTCAAAATAACGTTTTTGACGTTAAAACGACGACACGACGATAAAAATTACGTCAGCTCGCTACCCGAGTCAAGCACTTCATTGACATTCCAGGTGTTTTCGCCTATCTCGCATTCCGGTGCCGCGAGTTTCTTGGACTTCGAACCTCGGAGGTACGCGCCGAGCCGAAAGGCTATCGGGCTATACATGTATGCACCGCTGGCTGGTAGTGCTGGTATGGTATGTACAACACGCACCGTCGAGTCGTGGGGACGATTACGCGCTCGTCATGCCTGTTCGAGAAACGTGCGACTGTCACACGCTGTGACGTCGAACTCTATTGTTTCACCTATATACCTCCGCCGGCGATGTTGATCTATCGAAAATGTAAGTGAGCTGCAACGCGCGCAATTAATAAATAATTATAATAAGCCGAACTGATTGCTCTTTGCGCGACGCGAGAGATAATGCAAGTAATATACGAATGAAAAAGTACTATACGTCCTCCGTTTCGTCTTCAGTTTTGCTCGCTCATTCCCGCTCGCTCGATCCTCGCCTTCGGAGTCTTCGGACCGAACGTCGTCGGTCGTACTGCGATTTTTCTACATCGATCTGCAACGATATGATAACCTAAACGTCGCCACTCGGATCTCGGAGGTAACGATAATGTCGGAAACCGATTGACCGCTCGTGGTAAAGTTCAGGGACGAATTGCATTATTACGTTTCCAAATAAGCTTCCCTGTCATTAGACAATAGACCTGTTCATTTTAAGTTAACTCAAAATTCATTCATAGTTCGGTTTTCCTCTATTTTTTTCGCGCTGGAGAGAAAAGGAGAAAAGATGAACTGTGGAAATTCAGCTGAAACGAGCAGGCCTAGTGGGTCTGTTTTCTATCGCTGAACTGAACTGGCCGCTGAACAGTTCAAAGTTCATCTTTTTCCTACCAATGTGGAGTAAAAAGGATAAACTCTGAACTAGTGCAGCCAGTTCGGCAACAGAAAACCGATTTATCACGGATCGTTCAGATACCAAAATCGTCATTTGAAAATGAAACGGAAAAAAAAGGAAGAAACGCGGGGGAGGAGAGATGCCGCGCGCTCGCGTTTTACGCGATGTCATTCGGCGTTCTGAAATCGTCATTGTCACTTGACGTCGGGAGATCGTCGAATGATCGCGAACAATATCGAACTCGTTCCACGTCGACCACGTCGGTTCGTTTACGTTTACGTTCCGTGAAAACCGGTGGGGATCGTCTCCCCTCCTCTCCCCTCCCCAAACGTCTTTTCTATTTATCTCTCATTTTTCGTCTCTTTTTTTCCCCATTTCGAGTTTCGGGGACGACAAACCGGGGGAGGACGATGAGCCTGAGAAGCGGAAAGGTAGATTCGCTCGAGGATATTCAGTTGCAAGTTGTCGCGCGAAGGTGTCCGAGTTAACCTCTTCAGTCCGTCGCGACGCGTTCCTCGAGTCTTCGCTGCCACTTTTTCCCCCCTTCTCCTTCGCGTAACTTCCACGCGGTGACACACACGGAGACGGCACCGAGACGAGGCGAGGCAGACCAAGGCAGACCCGCACTATCCCGAGAAGCCCGAAGCCACCTGAAGATCAAGCAAATCGCGCCGCCAATCGCGATCACGGACGGCGGTGGTCCACGCGGCTCGACCACAGATACAGCACACGCCCGGGGAAGATCGTCGCCGCGAGGAGGCATTATTTTTGGGAACCACGCGTTCCGCATAAATAACATGTGCCGCCCGCGAGCCTGATGCCTTGTCGCGTGCGCGCGCCCGCGCGCGAAAGAAAGGGAGATAAAGATAAATATGGTTAGTCACACCGAACACGATTCCTTACTCAGCCGCGGCGCCGAGACGCCGAATATCCTCTTTTTAGGTACTACGCTCGGCTTCACACGTGGACCTCGTGGTCGTCCGTTGGAGTCACACCGCGACGCGACGCCTGGCCGCAGAGAAACCGCGGACAGAATTAATCGTTTGCTAATTGACTTGGTCGGGGAAGCGTTTGTTTATAGAGTTCGCGGGGGAGATAACAAGAGATAAGAGCGACGCCATGTGATGTCTGAGAAGTGCTCTCGCGAAGTTAATGGCAAAAGTTAATTACTAAGTTATTAAAGTCATTAATTAACTGATTGTCATATGAGACAGCTAGGTACATCAATTGTATTTCCGTTAATAATTAGAGACGTGAGCGAGGGATTTATGGGGAGAGTGAATTGTTCATCTTTGAAGCCGAGGACAAATTTATACCATGTTGCTCAATGTGTCATAATACATATTTGTGTCGAAAGTGGCATGTATAAATTGTATTTTTTCACAGATTTAAATTAAATTTTATTCGTACTATACATATCTATATATTGTAAATGTAATAAGACTAATAAGTATATTCAAATATTTTTTATATCAAGTTTGTGAAATAAACAACATTTGGTGTATTATACATGACTATTTTTCAAAAATTTAATAATGTACGTTAACTTATCTAAAATAAAATTCATGTGTCTGTTAATATAGGCGAGCAGATCGAGAAAGCGTTCGGTGGATGAGAGTGACACGGTGGTTCATATAGTAGTGAAACGGTTCAAGTACTGTGGCATTATGTTTTGTTGGGGTAGCACTATTCATGGAGAGTTGGGTTTGGGTGGTATCGAGGATGAGAATATCTTCATGCCGCGGGAAGTGGATTTTACAGAAGCGAAAAATGTTGTCCAAAGTAAGGCTCTTGAAAGATTTTAACAACGTAAGGTCTATAAAATTTCTGTCATGAGAATGTTCTGACAAAAATTAAAATTTTAGTTGCGTGTGGAGAAAATTATTCCGTAGCTATTACAAAAGATGGTCAAGTGTATTCCTGCGGCAATAACGACTACGGACAGCTTGGTCATGAGAAGGCGAGGAAAAGGTTACGTGAGTACAACTAAAACTTTTACAATTAAATATGTAATTTAGACATCTCCTAAACTGTAAAATTCTTTAACTTTGCTAACATATATTGATTTTTTTAAATATAGAACTGATACCTGGCCTGGATGCATTTGTGTTCAGAAAAATAGCGTGCGGTAATTGTCATACGCTGGCTGTGAATGAATGGGGACAACTTTTCAGTTGGGGTTGTAATGTAAATGGTCAACTAGGTAATGTATACATTTTATTACTATTTTTTTTATATATTAATATATCTCAATATATTGAGAATGCTATTTTTTGGACATTATAAACATAATAATCGTGTATTTATTGTCTCACAGGATTAAATATTGTCGAATCTACAGAGCGTGTTCCACGTATGGTAAAAGTATTGGGTGCAAATGTGATAGTGCAAATTGCGTGTGGCGTTGAGCATTCGATCGCTCTGACCAATGACGGAGAGTTATATGCGTGGGGTAGTAATAGAGACGGACAATTAGGATTAGGGTCCTACACGTCTAACGAGATAAAACCAAAGAGGATTACCACATTAGCTGCTGTACCGATTGCATTTGTCGCATGCGGCGGTTATCACACTGTAGTTATATCAAAATCAGGTTAGTATTATATTGGCATTGTGGGTATTATTCGACTTGACGCGTACTCAAACCTTGTGTTCGTTATCGTCTCGCAGGAGCTGTATTCTCGTGGGGGAGAAATACCTTTGGACAATTAGGACTAAATGATACACAGCAGAGGTGTTTACCATGTCAACTACGTACTCTCAGAAACTCAAAAGTATGTTATGCGACCTGTGGTGAGGATTTCTCGGTGTTCTTGACAATGGTAAATTTTATTAATCCATCGGTCAATATTCTGCAAGTTAGAGCATCCAAAAATAACTTTTTCTGCGGTTATTTCAGGACGGTGGAGTGTTTACGTGCGGTGCTGGAATGTACGGTCAATTAGGTCATGGGAATAACTCGAATGAGATTTTGCCGCGACAAGTTATGGAGCTGATGGGTAGTACTGTTACGCAAGTGAGTTATAATTTATAAAATATATTATTATGCATGTGATTAAGATGTAATTTTACATTGTGATGCAACTATTATGTCATGTTAATCTTAATTGCACACAATAATATATTTATTAATCTATATTAGACTCTAAAATATTATATATAAATAATATATTTTGTGCAGGTATCTTGTGGTAAAAGGCATACGCTCGCTTTAGTGCCATCTAGAGGAAGAGTTTATGCATGGGGCTTGGGTGGTGCTGGACAGTTAGGTAACCGTTCTCCGCAGAGTGCTACGACGCCACAAGTCGTCCTAGGACCATGGTCTTCGCCGAGCGGATCGTCGATGGTGCTCGACCTGCACTATAGCCCTCAAATCGACTGTGTTGTTAAGCATATCTTCAGTGGAGGCGATCATTGCTTTGCTACGATCAGTCAAAAAAAAGTGTGTTTTCTCATATCGTCACGCTTTTACGGCTTTTTAGTTTATTTTCTTTCAAATTTACAAGTTTAGATTAATTGGTTTTTTTTTCTTTCAAAAAAGACGAAAAATAAGAGAACGCAACAGAATATTTTATTTTGCACCGTTTCTATGATAAAATACGAAAAATTATTTCTACTTAAATATATCTACAGGATAATATAGAACCAGATGACTGTAGAATATTAGGGTCGACTTCCCAAATTCTTACAGTGACTGAGGAAAAGCTAGGCGACTGTCAAAGGATCCCACCAGGTTCACCGATTAATCACGAATTAATGACGTAAGTGAAAAATATTGCATACTAAAGAAAATTATAATCTACTACAGAGAAGTTCAATTTAGGCGCTTGCGCATTTCCTTGTGGTTTTTCCCTTCGTTTTCCTTCGCTCCTTTGCTAGACAGATCTGACTTGATGAATGAATTTGCCGTAGCCTCGATTATCGCGTAGATATCCAAGTATTTATGATATTTTTCAGGTATTTAGAAACTGTATTCAAAAGTCAAGCGTGTATAAATGCGTCCTTTTTACTCAGCAACGACGCGCATTATGGATGTTCGAGCAAAAATCATGGGATCGATATCGACTACGCGATCAGATTATTCGGAATTATCTCAGAACTGGACAATAACACAATTCAAGAACTGGTACATACATTTATAAGAGATACAGGTAAAATCTTGATCGACGTTTTTAAGTGGCGACATCACGCTTTTATTCCAGATTTTCACATGTGTAACTGATAGTCTGATACCGTCGTTTGTCGACTCTCCGCCCGATGTCGAGTCTTTAAGAGTGTACTTAACACTACCGCTATATCATCGCTTCGCCAATCTGTCCAACTACAGCTCTTTACAAACGCCCTTCTGCAAGGCGGTGTTGAAGCTGAAGGCCGAGGCTTGCAAGGTCGTTGGCATATGGTGGAGTGCGGCTCCGCCGTATTACTTTGAGAGACTCGTGAGAATGTACAAGTCCGTAGTACTCCATTTTGTGAAACAGTCAACGGCTGACAAGGTAAACTACGTGCAGGAATATTCGCGTGAGCGATAAATGATTTGGAAGTAAATTTTGAGATTTTCACGAATTTCTTTGGTAATCCTACGGCTGCGTTATAGGTCCAGCAATCAAAATTGATTCTGCGACTAGTTCTTGCTTCTATAAGTAAAAGAATAAAATCGGTACAAATAATATTTTTACAAATACACAAGATATTTGATGAAAATCTCATAACTTTCCTAAAAGGAGATAAAGATTTTTCTACGATAATGGGAAACATATTTTGCAGATTATTATGTGGACTGAGAGCCTACAATGTGCTCTGCAATTGTTAGCATTATTGTATAAACTAAATGTCACAGCTGGTATACGAGTACCCTATGAGACCTTCCACTTGTCAGAATTATCGGAATATGTAGACATTAACCGCGACTACCTCAAGTGGCTGACAGAAGATGATCGGACTTATGTAGGTGACCCTAAGATTTTCAGTGATGCTTATTACTGCACATACATGTAGCATTATAATCCTTATAATTTTTCAGTACCGTAAAATATATTTTTGCAATTATCCTTTCCTATTTGACGCCGAGGCGAAAACCACGTTGCTTGAAACCGATCAAGCTATACAGGTAGCTATATCGAAAAATCTGATATTATTTAGAAATATACGCATACGTATCGTATACGCATTGTTAACAAACTATATTTATGTTAGATGCAATCCGCGATGAATGAAGCAGCGTCGCGGGTTGTAAGGGATCTGATGCTTGGTACAGCTATCCTGAACTTCGAGCAGTACAGTCAATTTGTAGTACTGCACGTTTCACGGAACAACATAGTCAACGATACCCTGCAACAGTTGTTTAAGTATGATTCTAGCGAGTTAAAGAGACCACTTAGAGTAAGTATCAAGCTTTTTAAAGCTTTTTAATGCCTTAAATTTAGATAATTAAATACATCTATTGAGAATTAAATCTTAATAGAGATCTTGACCTAGAGATTCTAAATCTTCTATGTACACAATTTTATAATGCTTACTTAACTTACATAGCGCGTATTCACATTCTTCCAGGTTAAATTCCGTGATGAGGAGGCTGAAGACGTGGGTGGTGTGAGAAAAGAGTTTTTCATGCTTCTCTTTGCAGAGATTCTTGATTTTAAGTATGGTATGTTTAAAGAATATGAAGAGACGAGGACGATCTGGTTTAGCTCAGACTCGTTAGAGGAGGAAGATATGTATTTCCTAATCGGCGTTCTCTGCGGCTTGGCCATTTACAATTTCGTAATTATTAATTTACCATTTCCGCTGGTCTTGTACAAGAAACTTTTAGGAGAATCAGTCGGGCTAAGTGATGTTAAGGATATGTCACCGACAATAGCTAGGTATTCTACTCATTCCAGAATCTATACGTTGTTAATCTTATATTAAACGAAATACCATTAAGTATATGCATTGCAGAAGTTTAGAAGATCTTCTCGAATACAACGAATCTGACCTGGAGGAAGCATTTTGCTTGAATTTCATGGTGACCAGGGAAGTGTTTGGCGAGATGAAGAACTTCGAATTGATACCGGGTGGTGAAAACGTTCCTGTAACATTAAAAAATAAGTACGTAAACATTGCATGCATGTCAGCACCAATGGTGATAATAGAGGAAAAGGAAGAAAAGGAAAGCAAAAGCTTTCATTTGCAGACAACAATACGTGGACCTTTACGTGGACTATATATTGAACAAATCGGTGGAAACGCAATTCAAAGCGTTTCACAAAGGTTTTCATAATGTATGCGGCGGAAGGGTGCTGGAGTTGTTTCATAGTCACGAATTGATGTTGCTTTTGATCGGCAATGAAAATTACGATTGGGAAGAATTGGAGAAGAATGCGACTTACAAGGATGGCTATACCAAAAGTGATCCCACTATCGTGCTCTTCTGGCAGGTCTTTCACGAACTGTCATTAGAAGACAAGAAGAAATTTCTACTTTTTTTAACGGGTAGTGACAGAATACCTATACATGGTATGAAAGCTATAAAGGTGAGAGAAAACAACATATTGAAATGTAGTTAGAAGACGTGAATGCGTGACCTTATGGAGAATGTGTGTCTTGTCTTCGTAAACAATTAATATGTTATTTGCTCTCTCTGTTGCAGATAACGATACAGCCAATGACTGACGAACGTTTCCTACCGGCTGCGCATACGTGTTTCAATCTACTCGATCTACCGCGTTATCAAACTCGCGAAAGATTGAAATACAAATTATTGCAAGCTATTCAACAAAATCAAGGATTCTCTCTTGTGTGAGACCACGACACGCCTTTTTTATGACTCTCATGAATGTACGACAGCTTTATTTGATACAAATCTATCATCAATTTAACGAAGACACAGAGAATGTTCACAAAAAATAGCAAGTTCCTTACAAGCTACATTAACATTAATACAATTCGTTCGCGCATAAATCTCGTTTCGACTTTTCAAAATCATTGAAAGAAAAATGAGTTTATATTATTATATTGTTTATATATTTAATAACAAACGTACTATAAAAAAGCGACTAATATAAACATATGCCTAAACAAGCTCAATAATTAATTACATACTGTATAAATCAACAATGAATTGAAAAAATGTACAAATTGAATATTCTTTTATTGTGATAACACTGTTTAACAAACAATTACTTTTTTTAAATACAAGGACGAAAATAATCATTTTCTATAGTTTTCTGAACGCTAAATACGACCCCGTTTGCCACTTGCTCTATCACATAATTTTGAGAAATTTGCATTTAAAATTGCAAAAAGGACTATTTTAATATATTTTAGCATATTATAACTACGACATGTGACGTGTTGGAGAAGTTTTATTGTAATGAAAATTAAGTATGTTGTAGGACTTTCAATCCTCAAAAGGAATTTTTTGTGTCGGTGAATAAGATATTCAATGTTAAATATGGCGTTAATTGCGGAAAAGCTGTGAATTAGATAATTAACGATTTACCAAATAGCTTTCAATTAAATATATTCGTTTATTACGTTTATTCAAACATAAGAGTTTCTCAGGTCACTGAATACTCATCTGATGTCAAAGTTAATAAATTCAAAATAGAGGAGTTAATACAACGGATATCAAAAGTGAAAGTTTGCCAATTTTTAATTTTGATATCCACTACTTTGAATTTAAAAAAAGTAGAAATTTGACAATTGGTAATTTTAATATCCGCCACTTCGATTAGTATTCAGCGCCCTGAAAAACTATGGAAAATGGTCATTCTTGTACTTCTTTTGTTGAACAGTGTAAATAACTCATGAATGAGTTATGAAACGAGTCAAAAGAAATGAACCTAAACTTTTAACTTTTTGAAAATAAAAATTCCGAGAATAATACTGTTTTAAATTAAATCAATTGCAACTTTTATTACATCAAATTAATAATAATAATAATATTGATATAAATAAAAAGGCATCGGTTGATCTGAAAAGAGAAATGCATAGTGTTAATTTATAAATGTATTTGAGTCAAGAGAAGACGATACCTACTCAGAGAAAGTTATCTAGTTTAGTAAGAACTTTTTTCACGCGACAAAACAAATTCCATAACTTTTTAAGAAACGTATTCGATATTTTTCGCAAACACGTTGTTAATTTGAGAGTATATTTTTGAGCTTGCCGTATATACGTGGAGATTTAAGATATAATAAAATGAAATAAATATATATATATATATATATATATATATATATATATATATATATATGTATCTATACATGTAGCTAGCATAGTAATTTCACATGACACTTGCGGCAAAATAGATTGCTGAAAGGAAAGCATTTTAATAATATTAATTAAATATTTTAGGTTTTATTGCGATACACCTTTTTGATGGGAGTGATTTAGATAACTCGAATTGCACATTCGAGCTATATTCTTTTGCGAGACTTGGTATAGAAAATATTTTGTAAATTGTTACTTATTTAGATACGTACCTTGTATTACGTGGAAAACAAAATAAAGATTGTTATCTACCTCTTATATCCTAAATTTCATTAAGAAATTTAGATATGTGCACATGTCATGTTACATTTTCAAGTGTAGTTTACAATAATGATTATAGGCGTGTTGTTTAGCATAAATTGCGATATTTATTTATTCACATCGATATGTTACATTATTAAAAATTATTCGTCAGTTAGTTAACGGACAGATCATTGCCAAGTCGCATTATCAAATGCGTTGCCTTTCAGTATAGGTAATTCAATACATCACCTTCTCTCCGAATACATTGTTCTGCACTCTGTACGATTCGATCGATTTATTTCGCGGATTCTTGTCTATATTCGACGTTCGTTACTTTTCCATTATATCGTCGTTGCCTTCGCAGTAAAAAATACAATCTGCCACTATTATTCTGCCGAAATCTCTTGTGATTCGTATGGCAAGCGTTAGTCTTGTAAACCTGTAAACCTGTTTGCAGCGTTAATTCTATCACAACAATGTTGAATCGCGTAGATCAGAAATTCCCAAACTGGGGATGTTCTTGTAGGTATTAACAAGCAAGAACCTCTAAAGAAATGGTCTTGCGCGAAGAAATATAATAAATTTTTTAAGGAAATGAAATAAATTATCTATATTTTTATCTTACTGTTTTATTATAAATGTAAATATACCTAAAGACCTACTATATCGGTTTGCAGACTAAAAAAAAAAAATAGAAGGACGCGATACTCACAAGCGTGGGAATCTCCGAATGATGATGCTCAAATAATAAACCAAATGCTGTAAAATAAACCAGATTTTCGGTAATTTGTTATTAGTTTGCGCTACCCTGCGAAGATGAAAGGTAACTGTTCAGTCTCTGTGTACACAGGTTCGTTGAAGCTCGAAATCCAGATCGGAAGTCTTTCTAGAAACCCGAGAAACGCATGACGTGTGAAATTTCTCTTCAGCTGTCTGAACCACATTCTGGAAGAGCGACAGCACGGCAATTCGCGCGCAGAATCGTGGCTTTTCCCCAAAAGTGTAGAAAAGAAGAAATCGCGTTCCAAGACGAAATTCTCCACTGTATGAATTTTCTTTTTACAGCCTCGTGATTTTTCGAGATTTTATTCCACGAAGAAATCATCGCTCATGCGTTTCTCTGACTCCTCGCGGATCCCGGAGGATCCGCGAACAACGTCCTGAGTGTCCCAGTCGATGAGAAACTCAGGGCGATGCCTCTCGTGCTCGAATGTGTTACTCGGAACGGAATATTCGCTAATGATGGTAAGCCGGAGTGAAGTACTGGGTGCCAGGCGGTGTTCGGTAGCCCGGGTAGGTGCTGTTCAGGGCGTGTTGCGCGAAGAAACCGCTATAGTCCTTGTGCACTCGACGGGGCCTGACAGCCGGACCCCTCGCGAGCTCCATTCTAGCCCGGTTCTCCGCCTCGATCTGGGCCTTCACGGACGCCGGCGGCCACTTCAGGTCCCCTCGCATGTTGCCCGTTGCCGGAGCCTTCGTCGCTGCGGGTTGGGCCTGGTACACCGGTGCTGGTGCCTGCGGATCAAGAATGATTCAAGGAGACTGAAAAAATAAAGAGAAAACGGCGACGAGAAATGTCGAATAAACTTTTACAATATCATCACATTTTAGATGTGTACTTTTGTGCTTTGAGAACACTTTTACTTTGCTTCTTCTCTGCTGAAAAATATTTAATCCATCAAAGTCGATAATATTACAATTTTGTTCTATCTTATTTTTATCTTTTCCATCCTTCTTTTGCATTAATTTAAGCTAATTTTAGTTTTTTTTATTGAATTGTATTTACCTATAGATTTACCATAACTCAGAAATTAACTTTTAAAATTTGAATTATCAGTTTAACTCAACTTGTTTTATTTCTCATAGAAATATATTTTTCTGACAATTTTGACGACCCCTCGAAAGACGGAGACACAAATGCATCTATCGTTTGTATACCTAAATAAACATTTAAACTCTATGTTAATTATTTGTTTATATGACAATTATATTAATTGAACAAATGATTACATCTTCTCGCGTATCTTTAAGACGCGAGTTTGGCGCGATCCCCAGACTCGCGAAAATATCTGAAAGGACAGCATTCTCATTAGTGACGCAGGAAACGATTATTCTTTCGAAGTCGAGAATCAGATTCGAAACAGATCGAGCTAGATGCGGGATATTCTTAGAAGTAAATTTCGGACAAGGGAGATGTAATCGATGCTGCGATGGAGTGACGAGGACGTATATTTAACAGCTGATATGCTGCCAAAGGCAAACTCTCACTGAGGAGAGCTTGCGCGAATATACTCTCGCAAAAATATTGTATCGCACCGCCGTTTCTCCGGTGCTATCTCGGTGTTCTTTCGTCGCATCTCCTGGGCAACCCACGCCCGATATTAAATGCGTGATGTTTTGGAGGCGCGCGTAATATTTTACCACGTTATTCTTAGCCAGATCAAAGTCGCGCGCGGGAGGTGTAACATAATCTCGAACATACAAATATGTTTATTAACCCGTTCATTGCCGAATCCTCCCGTGATGTAACACAATGTTCCGCGCATATGCGATCCCGACTTCCGATATTCGCTTCGACGGATTTCAACACCGGATTGAATCGGCATGCAACGAATGATCAAAAACCAAAAATGTGCGTGAAATGTTTTTATGAAGCAAGATAAAGAAACTTAACAAATATATATATATTTTTTGTGAGCAATAATTATTTATTAATATTTATTATTATCATAGTTATATTTATATATAATTGGTAATTATACATAATATAAATTGTTATTGTTATTACACTAATTATTTGGCGGCGAAATAAGTTCTCCGAGCTCTCGCTACCAAACTCTCACCTGCGAGATAGGCGGCTCAGGACGAAGGACGATAGTGGAGGGTGGTGCTTCGAACGCCGCAGGGGCGGTTGTATAATAGCCGGATGGAGTCTGCTGTTGCCTCTGCGGTGCCCGGTCGTAGGGATCTTGCTGGGGATGCTGCTGAAAAAAAACGCGGAGAACGCGTTAATCTGCAGATTCAGTTCACTGTCGTGAGGGTGTCACACCCACGCGAAGACATCTACGACCGTACCAGTTGCTATTCTGCAAATCTCCCGAAATCCTATCCTCGCGAAACTTGGCTGAAAACGTCTCACGACTCGTGCGAGAGAGAGAAAGAGAGAGATAGGAAGAGAAAGAAAACACATGCGTGACCAATAATTTATCTCCCACATAAACAACGACGGCGACCGATGCTTTTACAAGATCACAAGCGCGTTTGCCACGCGCCGTCGTTTCTTACCGAGAATCACCGGCTCTTCTTCCAAAATTGCGGAGGTCGACCTTCATCACAGTCACATCCATGCGAGCATCACTTACCTGCCAAGGCTGGGTCTGCTGTTGCTGTTGCTGCTGCGACTGCGGTTGCTGTCGATGTTGGCTCGGAAACGGGGGATGCTGCTGGGAGAGCGGCGAGGTCGCCGGGGGTGTCACGGGCGCCCAGCCCCTAGGGTTCGTCTGTTGCTGCTGGTAGTGCGAGGGCTGTCGCAGGAGCGTGCCGCCAGGACTGACCGGCGACGGGGACGACGGGACGGCGCTCTGTGTCGACGACCGTGCGACCGTCGAGGGCGGTTGGGGTGACGGACCTGACGAAGGACTGCTCTGGTACGAGCCGAGATCACCGTGCCCACGGGTCTTACCGGAGGAAAACAGATAATTTTGTAGGCTCGAGCGAACGCACGGACCTGGTGTCTGTCGTCTCGAAGAGGATGGGGATGATCGCGCGCGTGTTTGAGAGAAGATGACGCGCACAGATTTACGAAACGACGCGATATATATAATCATATGTATGTCTATATTAATTATTTTATTTAAACTATCTTTTTCTCTGTGCCGAATATTCTTCAAGTCCTTGACGTTATTAACACAATTTGGACAATAAGAAATTAGAAGCTGACAGTTCTATGGAAGTTGAAACTTACAATTGAATAATAGGACGGAAAGAAGATTTATGAAATGGATCTATATAAGATAAATAATAATTAATTTAATAAATGATTAAATTATCAAAGAATGATCACCGAAATTTGAATTATAATTAAATCTATGATAACAATCTTATGTCATTATAGAATGTGAAATACTTTGACGGGAGTTAGAATAAGATAAGAGAATAAACTCTTTCCAATAATTATATAATTAATTCATCATTATCGATTATTCAAATTAATTATTAAAGTAATTCTTCGTAATCTGGCCGCGATTCGCTCGAGCCAAGCACCGTCGGTTTTATCAAAAGAGACGGGCACCAATTCGACAACAATCTATCGTTTTCGTTTCGTTTCCTGCAAATAATTCATCGGTGGACCTGCCTCGACGACCGCAATGGTGGGCGTATTCGCGCGTTCAAGAGCAATATCGGTTTTGCTCACGATGATGTTCGGGTGTTGTTTCGCATCGTAAACTTTTCTAACGATATCGATATTCACTGCGTGCACGACTCGTCGCGAGTCAGAGATGGAACGACACTTCTTCGTATCGACTTTTCATTTAATAAATAACATAACAATATAAAATATTGATCGCTATAAAATTGTTGCAAAATTTCATATTTTTTCTTGAACGTGATAATATTTCAATCAATTTTTTTTTATTTGCAGCTTAATTTTCCCGATATTTGGTGACAATTAAAAAAATTAAAAAGATAAGAATCGGCTTTAATTTCATCGAGGAGAACGTCGTCGGCCAACTTTGCTGACTTAATTTAGAAACTCGCGCTGTGTATATCGTTATATTTGTTCTCCATCTCTGCTCCGAGTGAAACAGGGTGCTGATACGCATTCACAGAGAGGAACGAACGTGAACAATACATAAAAGAAACACGTAAAGAACATCGTTGCACTCACTCTACACGCATAGCAAAATGCAGGAGAAGCTATATTGCTCTAAATGGAGATAAATAATATTACGAAAAAAAATGCATACAACATGTAGACAATCAAAAAAATTGATATTTATAAGTGTCGTGTGTCTCCGCAATGCAAAAGTGTCCGTGTCCTTTCGGAGTTACTTAAAATTATCGCGATCTAAGAGCTTGCTCGATTATGTTCGTCTATACCCTCGTCTCCTTCGTAATGAAATGACAAATGTTGTTACGGCTAAGAAAAAAGGCAGCGAGGCGTTTATGTCAAAATTTGATTTCTATATTTTTGCTTGTAATATTTTTGTAATAAATATTATTATATGTATATATATATATATATATATATATATATATATATATATATAATAAGATATTATATATAAAAATCACTATGACGCAATTAATTCCTTTTTTCCTCTTCTTATTGATATCTTATTATATGATAGTCTTATTATGATATCAATTTCACTTTCAATGTATTAATTTACGTTATCATACGGAGAAAAGAAGAATTGCAAATTTTATTTACCGCTGCCTTTTTTGCCGTATCGCAGCAGCGTAATAATGGGGCAACGAAACCTGATTCTTTAGCGCGAAAATATGTACACGTATATCTGTTTATCTGTGATATTACCTTCGCTTGGACGGGAGCTTGCTCCACGTAGTCGAAGTCTTGATCCTCTGGAGGCGGCGGCCAAGCTACTCGTTTGAGACCTAAGATAATAATAGAGTTTGGTAGATACAAAGGCTCGTTTGGCGCGACTAGGTTCTATGAAATTTCTTCGTTTACGACCGCGATATATATTTGTATTAACCAATAAAAATCAGAGACCAATTCGCTTAAACAACATATGACTTACATAACAAATAATAACATATGAGAATATATATTACGTTCTTTAGAGACGAGATTTAAACGGAGAGAATGAAAGAGTATTTTTGGATACCAGACATCTATAGATTAAATCTGAGAAAATAGATATCGTATTACCAGATTTTTTATTCTAAAATTGTAAGGCACAATCGATTCCGATCGACGCGACGGTAAAAAAAAATATCACTCATTTATCTGTCACTAACGTCGTCAATCACCAGTGTCGCGTATATTCGTTCAATCGCAATTTCTCATCGACGCTGTCATCAATTTTCCTCAACGACGCACTTAATCCAACTTTATCTCATCACAATGGACCGGTCGTAGAAGTGTCGTCCTTTTTCTGCAATTTTTATCATCCCGCCAAAATAGTGACCTAATGACGTGCAATTTTAGTTTAACTGTGTCACGCAGCTTTCGTATCATATATCGATCGCGTGCATCGCGATGAGGGTGTCGCAACACGAGCGGCCGAGTATTGCGACATCCGTATATGGGGTCGCGCGTCGTTAATCGCGCAAAGTGCGACGCGAACACATATTTCCTGGCAACTAATAAACCCTGCCTGGACTCTATAATGCGTCCACATACCGATGCGATTCCCAGCGAGCTTGCTGGTTCAGCCGCGACGGTGAGGAGAACGCGACTCTGCCAAAACGCAAACCCGCCAACTACTAACCGCTATGGCGGAGAAGCACCTGTACCTTTCATTATCGTGGAAACTAGCTGGCTACCGATTTTAGAGCCTTTCTGGTAACCGGCCAAGGAGTGGGGTTTGACATTGTGCCCGATCGGGGAGGGGCAGCCCGCGCCCTTGAGGAGAGTCGCGAAAAATTTCCCGGGGGATCTCTACATATCGCTACACCCACCTTAATAATTCAGTGGACAAATAACAAAGATCGTAAAATGATTTCAGAACAATAAATCTCAATATTTCTTCATACAATATGTACATTTAGACATGATTATACTTAATTAAGTATATACCATTTATATAACACTTATCTAAGCGGATTCTCGTTTTAACAGCAAGGCGCAGCATCTTTCTCGGCGAATTTATCAAGAGATCCCAAATACGCGCGCTTGACATTCGGACACAATGAGTCTCTGATTCTGATCTAATTAGGAACAATTTTTAGGGATGAATTAAAGCGGCGCGCTCGACAAAGGGGACCTTTCTAGAGCACAACGCTCGGCGTTCGGCGGACTGAGAGGCTCGTGTGCTTTGCGAAAGCGCGTTGCCAATCTGGTAAACTCCACGTCTTTGAGCCGCGGCCAGAGAATAACGGTTGTGTCATGCTAAATTGAAAACGTATTGCCAGCGATAGCGGCATTAATTCAGGGAGCCCATGCCGTCCTCAACCAGGTGATCGATGACCGAGCCATAAACAGTTCGCGAGGATATTTGCACCTGGTGAATCATCGCCGCTCTTATGACGAAGTGATAGACTTTAGCGCGTAGATTAAACGCAAGCGGACAGACACTTAACCGTCAATTACCTTACGTTTTCACTACCCGTTGTTACCTCACCAGGGTCTGAGAGACTCCTGTCGTCTTCTCCAGCTTGTATCTTTAAGACAAATGCATCAATTTGACATCTCCTTTTTTTATCGATACATCTTTTAAAGATCTACAAAACTGCGTAAGTTAAATTATTCCAAATTAAAAAATGTAAATGCTATTTAAAAAAAAAAAGAAAACTTGTTTTTCAGAAGAAGCAAAAAAATTTGCTTTTTTTCAAATTGACGTAGTACTGACTAAAAAAAGATACAAGGGTTTTATGAACGTTTTAAAAACCCTGAAGGTAGGTGAAGTAACTGAGGGTTAAATATGTGCCACACGTCAATCTGTCGTTAAGTCAAACTGTAGACGTCAGGAGAATGGTATGATCTTCCTAATCCCAAATTATACCTTCTAGGAACGTATAATTGTCGAAGACGCACATTTCTTCACTTACCTGGTTGACCTCCGCGCTGTCTCGCTTCTTCTTCTTCGAGCATACGTAGAACCGCGCTGTTCTGCAAATTTGCTGGCTTGGCCAACTGGCTGAAGTCGATCCTGGAAAGAGAGAACTCCACGTTTAAGCTCGGCTTGTTAATAATATCTCGAATGCTGAAGAAATATTCATTCACATAAATAAAATAAAACAATTTCTTTTTGTTTTTATTAGCTCCTTGAAGAAAACGCCGCGACAAATGTGGATGAAACGTCGATTACGTATATGCTTGAAGTATTTGCTTTTACAGAATACATGCATAACAGATAATATAAAGTATGCATTATAATTTTATGACTGGGAAGACGATATCTTTTCTGATAGCAATGAAACGTTTACAAACAAATACTTTAAAGCCGAATTTTTACAGTAAAAGAAAATATAGAAAATCTTCGCTTTATATGTTTGCTTCTATCTTTCATTAAGAACATTAAGAACTTCACTTTTACTATCCATCGTTCCATTCATTATCGGTGAAAGTCGAACATTAGCATTGAATAGAATGCGAGGTGAAGATTCTCCCTCGGATTCTCCGTTCGCGTCGACAATTGAATCGTGTAGAATCGCGAGAGAAATTGTTATAAAGTCGGTGAACGAAAGCGTTAACTTGCAGAAAAAAAGAAAGAGAGACTACTCAAGCTCGCAGTGAAGAAAAAATTCGCGGATTTAGCGGAATCCGCAGATCTTAGGAACCGGTAACCAGTGGTCGGATCGTCACCTCTTCGTCGCGATCATCTCGACAGGAGGGAATCCCGAAGCGACAAGGATAAGGAGGACGATGACGACGCGGCGAAGAGAAACGGAGCGGCGCGCGTCCGCAGTCCGTCAAACGCGAAACTAAGTCAAGTACGAAGACGCGACGCGGCGGCGGCGGTGCGAGCCGTCGACTTCGCGCAGGCCGTTTATTTCCAACCGGCCGGTGATTCGGCTCACCGAAAATAACTGACGTCGCGAGTGGAATCGATGCCGACGGCCGTCGACGGCTGATTCATGCGACCGGCGTCGCGTCGTCGCGCGACCGACCGACATCGGCCGATACACGGGGATGATCGCACGACCGCACGACACGTGAACCGCGCGGAGTCCGACGTCTGACGCTTGGTGATTGACGCAAGGTGGTCGCCGCGTGGTTCACGATGTTCGAGAGTTATCCGAGTCGATCGCGACGATCCAGAGAATGGATTGGAATCCGGTCCAGAATGAATCGAGGGCATGTTATTTGAACTGAAGTAAGTAAATAGGATAATTCCTCGTGAAACTAATAATTGTTCTAAAATATTTAAAAAGTAAAAATTTGTGGAGTTTGATGTAATAATTATCTATGCCTAAGAAAGTGTGACAGGAAAACCAAAGCCCCTTTTCCTCGACACCGACACTCGATGTTTGGGGCCCTCCCCTCGACACCGATGCTGGATCCGACGAAATTACCGACTGTACGTTTCGTACCGCCCGCGCTGCACGAGCGCCGGACCCCGTGAACCGCCAAGAGAAGAGCCAATAGCGTGGCCGCATGCGACGAAATATGGTGAGACCGAGGGGGGTGGGCGCGTGGTAGCGGAACGACCGAGAGATCTCGGGGACTCTTCCGTCGGTATTCGGCGGGATCAGTCCTGCGTACGTTTAGCAATCAGCTGTCTGCCAGTTTTCGGTCAGTTTGTGAACGTCGTATTCGTGTAGACGCCGTATTCGTCTGAGATTGTCAACGAGCGTAACGAGACGGTATTCGTCTAGAATTGTCAACGAGCCGTGTGGCCCGTTTTGCGGCAAATCGCGACACGACTGTAACGTAAGTCTAACCTCAATACACTCATATGTTACTTGCTTATCTCTCTACTTTTCTTCTTGACTTCTGCAAGATTCCTTGGGTCCTCCGACGGAACTCCCCTTGTGTTGTCTCATGTTCGGAATCAAACCGCCGGCCGATACGGCGTATTAAGAGAATTAGAAATAGAGTATGAGTTTGTTAGTTCTCATAAACTAACTGGCGCCCAGTTAATCAACATAATTTTGACGTAATTACGCAGAGCCCCGGCAGCCCTTGACCCAGGCCGCGCCGGGTGTCGGTATTATTCGTCAGTCTTTGTCGAAGAATAAAGCCGGTCTCAAAAGATAATAATAAGTAGTTAATTGATCAAGTGTGTGTTGTTCGAAAGAGAGCGAGTTGAGCGAATTACAATAGATCCAGATCGTTGTAAAGCAAAGACATTTAGACGCATAATCTTTTCTTAAGTTTACCAAATAAATCCTTCTTTTCTAAATACCGATTTGTTCTTTCCGATAAACCGGCTTCAACATTCTACATTCTTATATACCTATATTTGATAGATATTTAAACACTAAAAACCAACGATTGTACTGCATTTATCGTTCGAAATTTATTGCTGTTATATTCTTTTGTAAAAGTTAATTTTTAAGATCGTAAGATGATTTTAATGTTTTACTTATTCCATATGTATCTTCTTTATGTGGTATAACTTACCCGACTGCACCGTTAGCCAGAACTTGAGTCTGCCTATCCAGAGTCTCCTGTATCGCCTGTGGCGAGTACAAGTTGATAGGAGAGTTGAACTGTTTGTTCACAAGTCTTGCTTTCTGGGTGGTCATGTTGATGCCTTAATCTATTCTCGAATTACTGTAATATTAGAAAATATTATTAATAGAAACAAAATATGCAAAAGCGAAAAATGTTAAGCGATATTCTAGGGAGTTATTCCCTATAAACCATAAATAATTAAGTTTGACTATTTCAACCTGACAATTGAGGAACATTTTTCAAAGAAAATCCTTCAAGAAACCCACTTTACTTATTACTTTATAATAAAAATACGCATCAAAAATATTGCACATAAAAAAATCATAAATTGCACGTTATTATCTAAATGTTACCTACTACAAGGAAATTACTCGCACAATTAGCACGATTTTGTCACTTTAAACTTTTATTTTCAAAATTCTATAGTTATTGAGTTTTACGAAAACACTTCTCAATTATATGTAATAACATAATATTAGTACAACTATCTTACTACAAATTGATAGATACGATGAAAACTATCCTAGTTCGAGCACATATATTTTCCCTCGTTTGTCGTAATTTCGAAGGAACGGTAGCGTATATTACTTATATAATATTATTTTCCTAAGTGTGCCGCAAATGGTACGCGCGTCATTAATCTGCCACCGCCGCGCTATTTGCACGCGAATTCTGCCAGAATTTATCAGATCCTACATCTATGTATATGATGCAAATATGTATCGCCTGACGAATGAAAACTGAGCACGGTAATAAATAACAAAAGCAATTTTTCGTTTTACATGCAATAACCAGCTCTGCTTGGCCTTCCTCTCATGCGCGATTGGGGATAACGTTTGTTTACGTTGGCACGTTTTGCGCATCGATAAGAGAAATACAAAAGTTGCAAGTGAGGACTGAGCATGATTTATCATAAGCTTATAAAAAAGGTAAAAAGTCATATATTATTAATTTATTATCATATCATAATTCTTTACTTGCGTTAAATTTTCATTTTTCATTTTATTATCATATCTTGCAGAAAATGCAGACTGCTGTCAAAGTAATTTAATAATAGATACCAAAATCGATACAATACATGATGAAAAATACACAGAAAATGGAAAAAACTTTAGCTGATGTTAAATCTTCTTGGCAGACAACAACGCTAAACTGACGCGAATAAAATTAATTAATAAATTGCCATGAAGAACGACATTCATTAATCTGTCACGATGCGATAGCGACGAATTCATGTAACGTAACGAACGGTGCATATTCCTGTCTCGACACGAATATATATGAGTCATGCGTATACTCCAATTCGACCGTAAATCATGCGAGGCTGAAGAGCAAATTTCGGCAAGTGGGTCACGAGCTATCGTTTCCCGATGGTCCTTCGACGATCGTTCCGCGATTGTTTGATGGTTACTCGATTCCGCGGGGTATTCTACGGCTCGCTAGAAAGCGCGTGGCATTAAATTCCCGGCCTCGTGCCAAGAAATCCGTGGCAGCGCGCGCCGTTGAAAGATATCACGCGTTCAATTCGGAGTGAAGGAGAGAAAATAATCGACGTTCCTCGCGCGTAATCTTGTCTTTCTCGCATCTATAAAACGAAAGAATTCAAAATTTCTCCCTTTCTCCTCCTTCTCTATAAATCGTTCGGTAGAGAAAATAAACAGGCGCGTTTTCTTCGAACTTTACACTTCGTTCCTCGCTAATTTTTATCTCACTGTTGATACAGTTTCTGAAACTGTGCACCCCGATTAACCCGAGTCGCACGTCGCGGGTCGCCTTCAATCGGTGACGAGACAGTGTCATCGCGAGTTCGCTGACACACGTGCGCGTGTCTTCGAAATAGCCAGGCACTTTCCGTTTATCGCGTTTGCGTAAAAAAAATGCGTAGAAAATAACCTTTTGCTTCGCCAGTAATAATTAACAAAATAGTTATTTAATTCGGTCTAACTGGTCATCTTTATTGTCACGACGTTTCGATCGGTAATTGGTATAATAGCCACAGTTTTACCGTTATGACTTAGATTAGTACTTGATAAGGATCAAAACCGGTGGTCGAAACGTCGTGACAAGATTAACATTCAATATTAAAGCTGGCCAGTTAATTAGATCGAATTAAACAACTATTTTGAAAAACATTACATGTCGCGAAAGGTATCTTTATCATTCCCTCGCCGCGTCTCTTTACATCCTTCACACAGTTCATATTTATATCTACTCGCGAGTAACTATTAATTAATTTAATTTAATTCTGGATAGTCTCACAATCGGAGGCCAATGTGGCGCGCAAAATCTTTTTTCAAGGTTTCCCGTTCTGATTTATCAAGGTCGCAACGCTTTTTTTAAGCAGGATTATGTCCGTCTTCTCCTATCTACTCGATAAACATCCCGTATTTTTAACGATTCTGTTATGAATCTTGTTTCTTCGCTTAAAGAAACACGATCAAGTAAGATTCATTAAATGTCTCTTCTCGCGGAACTGCAGCGATCTATTTCTGATGCATTTTCCTTGCGATTTCGCACGCGTTTCGCATTTTATTCATAACTTGGAACGTATTTATATCCCCTAGTCATAAACACGAAAGCTACCGTTCTCACGTTTCTTCCTTTCCGCTGAATATCTCATATAATTTAAGACACGTTTGCGCGCTGCAAAATCACCCGCGGCAATAAATTTTCGTATATAGCAGTTACGTGTTTAATATCTTTTTCTCGTATATACGTCTAACATTTCTAAAGAGAATTGGCAATAAATGTTCGCTCATATAATTATCAAATCTCATCTCGCTGAGAAGCTTCTAAGAACGGTTGTTTATTATTCTAACAGCACGGACAGTTACTGTATTTTATTTAAAACAAAGTTAGAAACAAATCTTCAAAAACTAGCCGTTATCTCTCTAATAATTAAAGCCTCTTTCCCTGCCTCTTCGATTTGATTACGCTCGATTGGTACCTGGACAAAACATGGACCTGGTTTAACACCCGAAAACCGCGGATTCTCGCTGACGCGTCCCTGCTGGGCGGCCACCGGTGCCTACCGCGGTTATTTTTGCCTACAAAATTCCTCCGAATATATCTACATCGTCCGCAAAATCTCTACTTCTTCCCCCTCCTGCGCCGAGCTAGTCCTCATCGGAGCCCGCGCGCACTTCGCGGGTCGTATTGAATTACATTAAAGCTCGCACGTCGCGAGAAAAATCGGCCGACATCGATGTCGATCTAACAATAGCGCGTATCAACCCGCGTTGTCGTTCAATGCCGAGGTTGTTGACGAATTCCTCGCGATGTTTTCGTGTTAAGAACCACGTGAGTTTTGAAATAAACACTGAAATACAGAGCACTGTTTAAAAGTGCGCTTGTACGAACGATAAGTGTTGGTCTACGACCTTGCTTTAAAGGATATTTAAGCTCTGAGCTCTAAGCCGTAAGAAATTGACCAATCACGATGGAATGTGAGGAGAAAACTCGATTGTGATTGGTCAATTTCTTACGGCTTAGAGCTTAAGCTGGTTGTAGACCAGCACTAAAGATTGGTCCCCCATCACTCTAATCAGCGAGATAAATTTGATCCAATAATATCTAATTCTAATCGATTTATGTCTATTTCCACTAATGTAGATCAACTTTAATTTCGGTTTAACTTACTTTTTATCTTTTTCTAGTTCTAAGAATTGGAAAAAGGTAAAAAGTAAACTAAACCGAGATTAAAATTAATCTACATTGGTAGAAATGTATACATTAAAGATCAAATAATAGCTAAACGGAGGGGCTTTCGGGATCGAACTCGAAAGCGCGATTATCGAAGCAATGTTTTCTTTAAAAAATCAGCGAAAATGCATGGTGACAACTGGTTTTTGCATCTCCCGGAATCCACGGAGAACCGGCCGGTTTCCTTTACATAACTCGCATCTATTCCAAGCTACGACGGCTTTTGGATGACGGCGTTTGCTCGACGTCGCGGCCCCGTCGAAACTCTCGTCGACTTCGCGCGTACACCGTGCCAGATCTCCGTGAAAAAGAAAGATCGCGCGAAACGCGACCGATTCCTCGAGATTCTCGATCGTTTCTTCTCGCAAAGCGGAGCACGGAACTAACGAGCGCCGATATTTGGCTGCTGCGTCGGACAAATGTGATAACGCCACGATATATAACGATACAATTAAAAATTATACTTAATATTAAATAATTATAAATAATAATTTAACTAACACTCTCTGAAAGTGTGATTTTGCTGATTATCCGACTAATTTCCGGTTTAATCAAGATTCTTCATCGTGATCCTGGAAGAACAGACTTCAACCTTCTAAAAAACGATTGCAAAAACATCGAAATTCAATTTCTTAATAAAGTTCTTTTAATAAATACTTGTCGGAAAGATGAAACGTTATGTGTGTTCCGCGAGTAGGAATAGCATTAGCCACTATGTAAAGGATTGTCAGTTTACCAAAGATTGCTTTATAGAATTAGGAAGAAATAAGAAAGAAATAATAGATAAAATATAGAATAATGAATTAGACAGAGTTAAAGGAAAGGTGTTGAAATAATTATGGAAAGAAAAAGATTCTAAAGTGAGGAAGAGTAGATAGGACCAAGTATTAAAGTTGCATGGAAGGTATGAGTGAGTTAAGTTATTTTGTAACCAAGTCCACTTTTTTCTTCGCATAAACTAAAGTTAATAAAGATTGATTGGTTGATAATAAATACTCGTTAATTGAACTCGACTATTTTTTTTTGCAGAGCTATATGCTCGCAGAATTTTCGTATGCCATGAGCGGGCGCGGGGAAAGGGTGATTTTTTCCACATTCCGGGGTTATTTCGTCAACGTGTCGCCTATTTCTGGCCGATTGTTTCAACGATACGATTGCGTATAACAACTTTTGGCCGTCCGGAGTGTTGTGACGGATTCATCCGCGGTGGTTAAAACTATGCGAATAGACGGGGCGGCGCGCCGAGAGAGCGTTGTCGTGTAAATTTCAATCACCACCTCATCTACAAGTCGCGGTGTATTCTCAAGAATGACGTTGAACATCACGTTTTTTGGCTGGACGAACCTGCCTCTATACTCTATACAATACGTCCCGCTGACTCACGAGCTCGTAGCTAAATTCGAAACACTTCTTCGACGTAAAACGTAAACGATCGTTGTGCTTTACACTTCATTTATAATTGTTTATTACGCTCTGCACGATTTATGTTTTACGAATTAATTATACAAAGACATAATTTACGCGCAAAGTAGGACAGACGTGGAGATTAATTTTCCTTGATATTTTATTTAAGTACCTAATACGATTCTGAATTTTAAACCGTTTCCTCGAAAAATTGAAGAAGAAAGAAAATTTTGGAAGCGTTCCTATAATTATATAGAGATCCGCAATTAAATCGATTTAATTGTAGATCGTTATTAACAGAATCGATAATTTCTATCCCCGTTGATTGTAATTGATTACCAACAACGGCTTGGCCTAGTTTCTCTTGATAAATTAGGCAGTTAAACGCCAAGATGGTAATTGAGTACGACAATTGTCTTGTCAGTTAAGTTGCCAATAATAGGAAGGTGGTGTGATCGATTGATCTCTAAAAATCTCTAAAATGAGGTATCTGTGGAAAAGAAACGTACAATAATTTCATCATTTCTGAACCTTTTTTCCAAATCTTAACTGTACGCTACACAATAATTTATTTTAATAAAAAATATATAGACATTTGTCGTGTTTGTTCTCTTGAATTTTCTATCCCTCTTTTTATTTTTTACACCGTTTCTGATTTCTGAATTCCTACATCCTTGATATTCCGTTATCAATTTTTCACGCTCCCCTTGCACCACTACTTCGATCTTTTTCCTGCGACTTCATCTCATTCTAACATATCCTCCACTTATTTTCCTCGGTTTTCCTGTCCCACCTGATTTCCCGTGTCCTCATCTGCCGCGGATCTCTTCCTTATTCGCGGAACGCGATCAACGAGACGGAGACGACGACATGCGTGGTGCAACGAGAGAACGCGGCACCTACCTTCGCGCTGATATACGTGGAGCACGCGGGTTCTCCTCGGGTGGCGAAACACACTGGACCCACGGAAAAGCGAAAGCACCGGAGAGCAGCAGAAGACAACCATCGTCGGCCCCCTCCCTCACCCGGAACCGCCGCCGAAATTGTTCTGGCCCCCCTCGGCACCTTCCTCCGCTTTCGGTTATTTTCGACCCCCGAGATGCTCTCTTTCTCTCCCTCTTCGATCTCTCCCGGTATTCGACGGATTTCCTGGCAATCGCGCGCGGGAAAGCCTCACCCGCGTGTCGTTTCCGAAAATCTCGTCTACGCGATCCGATCGTGAGCCTGATCAGAACACATCGCAAAAAGATGTAAAAAGCTTCTTTTCTTCTTTTTTATTTCGAACATAATATTTGAGCGACTGACGTGTGAAACATAAAATCGCATATGAATCGCGCGAATTTTATTAGAATTTCCGCGGAACGTATTTTGCAAAACAACTGTGATCAAAAACTTCAGCCGCTTTGCACTTAATTAATTTTACTAATTTTTCGAACATTTTACATTATATATTACATATTACAAAATTATCTGAATTTTTGAGATTCCTAAGCTCTCTTTATTCTAACTTGATACTTTTCTCTTTTATATTATTCACTACTATATTCATTACTATTGTTACTCTAAAATAAATATGAAACATATCAGGAAATTTGAGACACAGGAAATGCCAGAGCCGAGAGCGTAAATCATTCGTGAAAAATTAAGCACTTCAACATTTTCGCGAGTATACTTAATAACGTGTAAGATGCCAACTTTTCGCACATTTTACGCGCAGATTATAAAACTTGATAACTTGACGACAGGTTCCGTAACTTAGACCAGTATTCATAGTCGGATCTTATATTTAAGACCGTCTTAAGTACGATCTTAAGATGTTATGAACCAATCACAGAGCCGTATTATAGCATGCATCTTAAGACATTACTTAAGACAGTCTTGAAATAAGATCTGACTATAAATACCGACCTAAGAATCACTCGTTCATCAGCAGTCTTTTTGAAAATATTAATATCAATAATTGCTATATATAAAAGTGTGTTATATTGATAAAATTATTAATAATTAATAATTTATATTCTACATTAAAAAAAAATCTTTATTTGCAAGAAAATAGATTTCTTTAAATTTAGTTTCCGTAATTCAAAGAAGTATTATAGGTAGATATAATTTTCAAGAAAATATTTTAAACTCAGAAAAATGTTTTCTTAAATATACCCAATTTTGAATTAAGGAAATTAAATTCAAAGAAATATAGTTTCTTGCAAATAATAAATTTTTTTTAGTGTACACAAAACTGTCAACTTAATCCGTTGCGTACATACTTAACAATTTTTTCGTTCGTCGCGTTCATCAAAAGATCCACGCTTAATAATTATCCTCGAGTGTTTTTTATCTTGCTAGCGATTCGAGGGACGGAAATTGACTGTATATCCACGTAATATCCACATTCGATAACTCCGAGAAGTTACGTTTGCCGACTATTTGGCGCAACATTGTTAAGTATATTCTACGCCGCGGAGAATTGAAGGGCCGCCAGCGCTCGCAGCCGGTAAATCGTAACGTTTTGTGTAACGTAGCGCTCTCGCTCTAACGCAAACGAAAATAAATCAGTCCGAAGTGGCATCGTGCTTTCGCCTTGTTTCCACAGTCTGTTCCGGTTTATGTTCCGACGGCGAAACGCGATATTACGATTCTCACGACATTTAGTGTTCGATTCATTGATACTGCCATTGAAAAAACGCCTGATTGTGAGATCAGAATCGTTGTAATAACGATGTTATCAGTAGACAATCTACGTTTATCAGCAGACAGATATTACCATTATTACGAAATATATGACTTTATTCATAATTTAAACGCGAGGTATATGATAAGTGATAATTTTGATGATAAGTGAAGATTTTCCGAAATAGAAACGATAGATGGATAAAGCAAACTTGATACGAGATGAATCACTTGATAGGTAAAGATATTTCGATGATATAATTGATAAATTAATAAATTTCTTTCTCTTTCTCTTTTAATAATAATAACCTAGATATATCCCAGATAATCCTTATAAAATCGAAAAGGATTATCCTTTTCAAATTCTTTATGATATCGTGTAATTTGTTCGAAATTAATTGAAAAAGAATTCCTTTTTGATATTTCAAAAAAAGCGCTACTGCCCCGACGCAGCTACATGTGTCAATTTAGCGTCAGAAAAAATTCTCACGTGCTAGGATAAAATGCAAACCTGCGAGACACTGAGGGCCACTTCGTGCAATTAAGTTAATCGAAGTTCGAGCGAAATTGCCCTTAGTTGACTGATTGTGAATGCGATCCACTAGTCACTTCAAACGCTTCAAAGTATCATTTTGTCATTGTTTATTTGATAAACAAGAACGAAATGTTTCCAAGAGCGTTTAGAGCGAGTGGATCGCACTTACTTCATTCTAATATTTTTCGTGATATTTCCGAGATATCATACAAAGTGCGATCCACTTGACACTATAAATGCTTTGAAGCGTTCTTTTTCTCCTTTTTTCTTGATTGAAAGAAAAGAGAAGAGGAATGGCAAGATGCACTAGTACATTTTATGTTCTTTCTGATACAGAAACTGGATCAGAAGATTTTTGATAAATCATGAAGGATTCTTTCTTATTCTTTTTCGAGATATAAAATAGCGCTCAGATGAAGCTCCATTGGAATAGTATCTAAGCATAATATCGAATTTATTGCGAATTCTTATGGAGTAGAAAAAAAAATTTCTTTTGTATCTGGAGAAGGGCTCAGAATTGATGGCATAAAAATGAATTACTTTAGAACTTTTAAGAGTCATTTTAGAACAGAAATAATACGGAAAAAGAATTAATTTCATAAATCAGGAATTTAAGAAGAATTCTTTTTCAATTCTCCTTGCTCTCTATCTGGGAAGATAAGATTAATATGCCTCTTAAAAGATATATTAATTAAAAATTATGAGTTTAGTATATCTCTGAAAAGATATATTAATTTCACAATTACTCATAAAATTGAATATTTTGTTAAAATTAAAAAAGAAAAAGAGAGTTTTTAAGGAAATACAAAAGATAAATAAAGTTTTGTCATTTCGTGCCCCACATTGCTTCTCGAAATATCCATTTATATATCCGAAGATATTTCAAAGTAAGCTTCACCCCCGGAACAGATGTTCGCGACGAGCGCCGATAGCTTCCGTTTGGGAACGTCAGTCATCGCAGCGACTTCAAACTCTGATTAATGGCAAATGGATGATTAATTCAATCGACAGAATTGTTTAAAGTAAGATTTTTATATGATTCACTATCCCTAATCTTTTTTCTGTTAAACAAAAAAAAATTAATAATTTTATGTTAATAAAATAGTATATTTGATCATCAATTAAATTAACCGGAGTTTAATCGAATCCTCAAAGTAAATATATAATTCTAACGTCAAAATTTTAATTACTTCTCAGGCCGACTAAACTCCGATTAGCTTAATCAGTGAATTGCCTAATTTAAAAGCAAAATTTCTTATTATATGATTTCGTTTTTCTCTCAATCTTTTTCCTATATGTTAAACAGCAAAAAAATTAATAATTGTATCCATGTTAAAATAGTACAGATACTGCTACTTCATAAGTTGCTCGCCGATTAAGTTAATCGGAATTTATAAGTAAAGCAATTAAATTTAATGCCTAATTGATATTTGAGAGCCACGATTCTCTTTGTACGTATCTCAATCTCTCTTTCTCAACGACTTATTTCTTATTGAGCTGATTATTTATTCGCAGGTGATTCGATATGTTATTCACGTCGTTACCCTGCGATATTATATGAGAGTTGCTAATAAAATTAGTGTTCAGTTGCTATAGCAACTTGCGTGAGACTAGCAATTCGTACCATCTCGATTTCTGCATTACCGTCTCGAGAAAGAGATCCGTGTTTGCAACCAATTGTGCTGCTGCGCGCGTTCGGGATCTCACCTTCTTAGTACACAGACGCGATATATCGTGACTTGTTTAAAAATAAAAAAAACTGTACGTTAATTATAATCTTGCGTAGCCATTAATCTCTCAAAGAAACATTTTTTTCTGCAATTCTTTCCCCCGTATTGAATATCAATCGTTATAACGATTTTTCGCGGAGAAATAGTATCCACTACTTTTGATTATATCGATGTGTCATGCTTTCGCTGGCGATAATTTACGCTCAGTAGTTTCAGAGCATAATTATGGGTGCATCTTTAGGGTGTGTCCTTCAACGATGCGAAACGTGAGGGCTGAGTAATTTGACATGGTGGGGACTAATTCTCGCAACTACCCGATGTAGGGCGGATTTTGACTAAATCTCTATTAACTTATTAATGATTAACTTTATCAATATCTATGATATGTTATCTTGTAAATGTGGATAAAATTATTAATATTTTGTTATTTGTAACATAGAAAAAAGATTAGCGATTTCGGGTTGTATTCGTAGTCCAAACATATTTATAGAGGTGCAGACTCCGATTAACTTAATCGGTAATTAAAACTCTTATCCAGTGATATCCATATATGTTGTGAACATCAATTATAGAATTATTACATTAGTTTTTTTGTTTAAAGTATGAAAAAGAAATTAGATTAAGAGCAACGAATATCGTACACTTGGAAATTCCGTTTTAAGCAATTCCGCCGGTTTAATTAATCGCCAATTAATTTTAAATTAATCAGAATTCGGTTCAAACGCTTTAGATTGTTAAACGCATTATTTTCGTTGTTCTCCATTGCCAAAACGAACTATCATACATGCATACATGCGTAAAGAGAAAACTAATTATACAGTTAGAAATTCTGGTCGCATCGATTCCGCCGGGTGAATTAATTGCCGATTACAGCTAATCGGAGTCGCCGTCGGTTCGATAATAAAGAAACTAGATTCACGAAGAATGGGTTAAATGAGATCAGCCTATCCGTCGATACGTCCGGGTGACCGAGAAGAGACAAGCGCGCGGCGTCGGCGACGCCTTCATTTTCCACGGCGGTTCTTTCCGCCGGCGGATCTTATCCCGCACGCGACACGACGGGATGTTGTCGTCGAGGATGAGACATATATTCGTCACCGGGGCACGCGCGAAGAGGCCCCCGCGAGAACGTGGCATATATGTTTGCAGGGCTGCGCCGCGCGTTTACCGGGCAGTCCATTTTTTCGCGCCGGAGGGAGGCCGGGCAGGGCTCGCATTTCCCGCCGTTGGGAAGAATGGAAAATCAATAATCGCAATCGCCCTTACCGACTCTCGCGCGCGCGGGGCAATGGCGCGGCGCGGCGCGTCTGGCGGCAGTGGCGGCGGCCCACTCATCTTGCTTTTGCTTTTGCTTCTTCTCCTCCCTCCCGCCGCCGGCCGGTTCCCACTGCTCCGCCGCGGCGCTGCCGCGTCGATCGCGAACGACGTGCTTGGACGTGCTCTAGAAAGCTCGTCGCCTCTACTCGCGCTCGCGCGCGCGCCGATCTACGCGTCTCTCTCGCTCCTGCGGCGGCGCGGCTGTCGTTACCTCCATGTTACCTCCTCCACCGCACCGACTGACTCCACATCGTGTGGCGCGCAGCGCTGCCAGTCCGCCGTACGCGCCCGCCATTGAGGACGACCGCCATTATAGATTCCGTTGTGAGTGACCGAGTCCTGTTGGCGATTTGCGACTTAGCGACTTCCCACGGAAAACTCCGTCGCGCGTTTACGACCTTACGCCGCCTCCGGTCCCGTGCACTTGCCGCGAATTCGCGGAGGACGAGACGGAGACAGCGAGGGAAACGGTGGGAGAGGAGGGGAAAAAAGGGAGTCGAACAGATAGATCGCGGGCGGAGAAGTGAGCGAGCGAGCGGCACCCACGGCCGGAAAGGGCGCACGATGAAAACGTACAGCAGGAAAAAGGGCGACAGCCCGAGCAACGTGATCATCCACGTGAACGAGCTGTGCCGGCTTTGCCTGGCGAAGGAGGAGGAGATGGTGCCGATCTACGACGACGAGACCGTGCCGATGCCGTTGCGGATACTCTCCTGCGTCAACATCGAGGTGGGTCGCGGGCAGCGAGGAAGTTACACGTTTACGCGCGCGAACGCGATCGCCGGACGTTCCGTTCCGTCGGAACGACACGTCGTCGTCGTCGTCGTCATGCGTCGCAATTCATCGCGTATATTCGATTGGGTAGCGGGCGATAATAATCGGCGGCCGGGAGCGGCTCATCGAAAAATAGGAATCTAGTTTATCTCTCTGCGCACCGCGCGCGCACGGCGTCCTCTCGCATTATCTCCCCCCCCCCTCCTCGCCGCGTCGTGCCTCTTCGTACACGTATACGTACACATACCACACGTACGCGCGAGCGAGAGAGAGAAAGAGGATGTGTACATATGTATGCGCCAACGTCACACACCGATCCGCTCGGCGCGTATGTGCATACGTACGCGTGCGCGCGCGAATGACGCCGCACACGAGATGGGATACGTTGCGCGAGGCAACTACCGGCCTTACCGAGTTATCGACGAGCTACGGGCGATAGGTATAGCGGTGCCGGCCTTTTATGCGCGCCGCCTCATTACAGAGACCTAGAACCGCGCGCGCGGAAGCAGCATTCCGCTTACCCTACGGATTTATAGAGATCTGTAATTTGTTGGCAGTATGTCGGACGTGTAGCGTCCTCGCCGTAGCGATGTAAGATGTAATCCTCCCTCGGAGGAAGCGCGCGCCGTCTAGAGACACGATATATTGTTCTCCTCGAGCGGCGACTTCTCTCGATGTCGACATAAAACAGCGGAGGACGCCCGGGCTTCTTGACGTTACAGATTTTTTAATATTTTAAAGACCTTCGTATCAGCCTTTACTAATATTGTACTAATGTCCATTTCCAAGAATGTAAATTAACACTTTAATCTCGGTTTAATTTACTTTTTATCTTTTTCTAGAAGTTTCTAAGAATTAAAAAAATCTATAATGGAGTAGAAGTGGACATTACTACACTATTAGTATTTACTATACAAGAAATCAATAATTGTTCATCAATAATTATTCATAAATAATTTATATTGATATATAAATAATAAGGTATATATTTTGACGTTAAGCTCTATCTATTAATCTTTGGATGATATTCATGAATCTGTTTTCTATTGCTGAATTAGTGTGTACTGTACTTAAAGTGAAATAGGTATATGTTTGCAACTTGGCGAAAGTAAAAAGGAAAGTTCTAGTGCAGTCCAGTATAGCAATAAAAAACAGACCCTTATGTCAGATTTTATATTTAAAATTGTCTTAAGTCCATCTATATGCTGTATGATTTATTTCATTGGCTACGGAGGATCTAAAGATGACCTTAAGACAACCTTATGTATAGGATCTGACTATGAACACCGATCTGTAATTATAATTGAAGATAATAACTTGGGCATCTATGATGTTTCAGGTTTACGAGCAGGATGGCCTGCCTAACATGATATGTCATCCCTGCAAATATCAGTTGGAGAAATCTTATCAGTTCAGAAAAAAATGCCAGGCCGCGGACGCCAAGCTCAGAAAGCATATGAAGTTGATACAGCAGTTGACCGGGCAAGACGAAGAAGGCGAGAACCAGGATAGCAATAGGGACGAGTCCAAAGAGTCCACAGGAAAATCCAAGCAGGTTAAGCAGCTGTTAGCCGATCTAGTTGCGACTAAAGGCGACAGTGGCCAGACCGACGGAGATCCCATCGAGGTGACGGAGGAGGAACTCGTCGGCGGCTACATCCTGGGTGTGTATTATCGAGGAGTTTGTTTCGCTGCATCACCGCTCTGGACCTTCCGCTCTAAATCTTCCAAGCTGGTTTCGTTACAATGACAATTTTTGTGGGAAGGGATTGTAAGGTTCTTGCCCAATTTTTACTTTGGAGGCTTGTATTTCAAATAGGTTTCTGTTCCGCAAAGAATGACGCAATATCGTGTTTTATTTATCAGTTAACTTGGGATTAAGTTCATGTTTCGCAGTTTTTGTTTTTATTAGAATGGAGTATATTGTTACCCAAAATTCCTATTGTCATATATGCGGGGCGTCAAATCCGGGAATCGAACACGGATATTTTGACAAGTGACTGTTACAGCATTGAGCTAGCCGACATCTCTAGACCGGGAAGACGATGAACATTGAGAAATGTCTACAAATATTTGGTTTATATACATGGCGTATCTAAAGGTTGTTGCTAAAGTTAAGGGGTGTATAGAGGAATAGAGCAACTTTCGATCAGGAATTCATATTCTCCGAAGTAATCTTGAGTCAGTACAAACCTGTGAATGTAAGAAACTACATTACAGACATACCTTACATTCACAGGTTTGTACTGACTCAAGATTACTTCGGAGAATATGGGTTCCTGATCGAAAGTTGCTCTATTCCGACTCCTCTATACGCGCCTTTTTGGCAACAACCTTTAGATGCACCCTGTATATGTATCGTCGTTTAATACGCAGGAATGAATTCCGAAAATCCGGAGATGGAGGAAAATGTCTCGGAAGATCCGGAGAACATCACATTAGTACCCGCCGAAGAACGAACGGCGAAGGCGCGCTGCACGATAAGGACGACGCGCATCAAGCAGGAGCAGGAGTCCGATGACGAGGCAGAGGAAGTGCAGAGAGCGATCGCGAATGTCGATCACAAGAATGTTTACATGATGGAGGTCACCAGCAACAATGCCAATCAGCCCGACTCATTGAAGTTACAGCCTTTGGGTGATACGATCGGTAAGGAATGTACGAGAATATGTTTTTATTTGTAACAAAAAAAAGCCAAAATACGATTAGAAATTACAAATGACAAATGTGGATTGTAGTCGATGGTAATCCGGAAATGAAGGTGTTTAAATGTGACAAGTGTCCAAAAGCGTTCACCCGAAGAATAATGCTGAAGAGTCATCAGTCGGTGCATTCCACGCAGAGAGGATTCACATGTCAGGCGTGCGAAAAGTGGTTCCCAACCAGATCCGCGTTAGTGAGACACGAACGCACACATACTGGTTCGTATCGTTTCGTACTAATCTCATTCGTAGAAAAAATCTAATTCTTTATGAATATCCTTACCACTATTCTCAGTAGAAGTAGTCGCGTAACGTACGTTTTAATAGCATTGAAAAATGCGTAATTATTGAGTTTATTATAGAAATATATAATCAATGTTGTCTCTGTCTATACTTACAGGCGAGAAACCGTTTGGTTGCAACATCTGCCACCGTGCTTTTGCGCAAAAGGAGATTTTATTCCGACACTTAATGACACATTCTGGCCAAAAACCGTTCCAATGCCAGCACTGCGAGAAGAGCTTCACGCAGCGAGAGGCACTTAAGGTGCACATGCGCCGGCACCAGAAATTAAATCCGAATGATATTCAGCTACATCATTGTCAGCTTTGTCCAAAAGCATTCTGTCACGCGTCAGGTCTCAGCAGGCACTTGGTTACGCATACTGGTAGAACGTACAAGTGCGTCGAGTGCGAGAAGACCTTTACGGATAAGAGCTCGCTGCTGAGACACAGTCGTATCCATGCGCCCAAGAAAATCATAGCAAATTGAGCAAATGTCTTGCTCAGTTTGTTGTGATTTTCCTGAGTTTAGTGGATATGAACAGTTTCTTTGAACCGGCATCTATGTCGAAATTAAACCTGCAGTGAATACTGTCAATATTAAGACCTGGACTCTCGCCGCGACCATGTTAGATCGTGACGTTAGAGGCGAGAAATGACACGCTGAGAATTCTTGCGTGCCATTTCCAAATAAAAAGATATTTGCATAAAATAATACTTCAGATTATTTCAGCTTTAAACATACTCCGAGGTTTACCCCTTTCCCGTATCAGTTAATAAACAGTCGTAAAATAAATGTAATAATGAATGTACGAAGTCGTAAGTCATGTAGGCTTAAGCGCAAGCGCATGATTAGGCTTTGTATTATATTTATTTTATGGCTTTTTATTAACTGTCAAGGGAAAGAAATCTCGAAGTATTTTTGAAGTTTGCTGAAATGATCTGAAGTATTATTTTATGCAAATATCTTTTTATTTGGAAACGCAAGAATTCTCAGCGTGTCATTTCTCGCCTCTGACGTCACGATCTAACATGGCCGCGGCGAGTACCTCTTAACGAAAAAAATCTACAGATTTTCGAAGAGTTTATATGGTTATTTTATTGAGATGGGCTTAGTTGTATAATCATTATACAGGGCGTTTCCTAAGTAAGTACAAAAAATTGAAGGGGATATTTTAGGCTTATTTTAGGAAGAGAAACTCTTATAAATGTATGTCCTAAACTGTTTTGTTTCCAAAATACAGGGTGTTAAATTTGTGAAAAAAATGTGAAAATTTCGAAAATCTGGAAAACGTTTAAAGGAATTTTATTCAAATATAGTATGCATGATATTAATAACCATTTTCCAGTACCGATAAAAAACTAAATAATTTTTAGATCTATCAGGGGCATGCATATGGGTAATTTTATATTCTTGAGTGACTTTTTACGTACAATTCTTATGCCCTAGCAGACCACGCGCCGTTACTTTTGGACATAATGCAGTCTCAATCAAAGCCAGATATATATATACACACACACACACAACACACACACACATACACATATATACTATATATATATACAGAGATATATATATACATATATATAGATTAACTTGGATATTTACAATTTTACCGAATTTGGAAAAATGATTATTCAATTGTGTTATACTGTTTAAGCTTTGTGGAATCTTTTTCAGTTCCAGAGAGCAATTGGCCGGGTTATGCACTACTCTCTGTTTCGGTCCCAGACGATTAAAATCAAACGCTTGTTTGCGTTTCAGCGGATTGCTCTGGGTGTGGGTTATTTCCGACGAATTTGTGTGGGGAATAACCGGCACACTAATCAGTTCTCTTTGCCCCCTGCCGTAAATCTCAGGCACAGGTTGCGGATGTCTACCCCATGGCATTCGCGTGGCTCCATGCTAGGTGCGTCCGGATTATATTCCATATTAGAATGGTAGTTTCTTAAATTAGGTGGTGGTAAACTGGCAAGAGGGAGATGTGGCGGTGGTGGATTACCATTAGGACCCTGCGGTGGTTCTGGTACCGTGGCCACTGGAACTGTTCCTGGAGCTTGAGCACTATGCGGTCAGAAACTCAAAACACGACTAAGTGCCACATCTTCCAGTACAACTGGGTCTGTGCCGTGATCATAGGGACAAAGATCTCCCCTCATGCAGTATCCCTTTTCGTCAAAGTCTTTGCAACGTCTCTTTGCTTGTTGTTGAAAAGAACCTGTCTGATTATTTGGAATACTACTCGCGACAGCGACAACACTTTGTATCAATTGACAGCCTCATGTCTACATCTCCGTGATTACTATCTTAAGTTGGTGTACCACCACCAGGATTTCTCTCGATTCGATCCATTTTATCTACCTCTATTCTTTCGAAGCGATCGATCTTCTTCCGTTCTATTGATCTTGAACGCGATATATATATACATCCCGTAATTTTCGCATATCTGTTTATTCCGAATTTCTTGGGTATATTTAATATAATTAAATTGATATCAATTTACTTGTGTGATTGTATCGTTTTGGCTTTGGTCGAGACTGCGTTATGTCCGAAAGTAACGGCGCATGGTTTGCTAGAACATGAGAATTGTACGTAAAAAGCTAGTCCTGACTGATTACGGCGTTTTCTCCCTTTTTTTTGTACTTACTTAAAAAACACTCTGTATGTAATTAGTATATTTAACGTTAAGAAACATTAAGCATACGTTTATTTTAGTCACCCTTGTATAAATATGAGCGAATCTTATAATTGGGGAAGTTAACCCAAATCATGTATTCGAATGAAATGTATATACGAAACGAAATTTGAAATACAAAATTGTAAGTAAAGAATACATTAAAAATTTAGACTGATATAAAGTTTTGAAAATATAAGTTGCATTTAAATGTAATAAAACAGATACTACGTAATGCAACATGCAAAATGAAAACATGTATGAGCAAATATTCAATATCTCGTTCACTTGATTGCAACTTATACAAGAATGATTAAAATAAATCCAATAATTAATTTTAAGTCCCGAACCTTTTTTTTTTATTCAATTGATAAGGTTTTTTTCTTTGCGTGATTGAATTATAGCATATAATTTTTTTTTTAATACTAAGTGCAATTTGAATCAGGCATGTGCAACGTATTAAAAATTTAAATTACGTCACATAGCTAAATATAGCATAACAGCAACAACATTGAATGCATTAGTATAATTTTAGCTTTCCCTTTAAGGTAATGATCATATTCTTATATATAATTTTTATATTCGGAAGATCACATATGATTATGTATCACGTACCCCTTTGCGATGTAGAATTTATAACTATTCATAATTGATGTATATAGTTCTAAATATAAAGCTATATATTAATGGAATTATGTCATTCATGTGTGCACATAAATGCTATTTTATTATAACAACTATCATCCTTATAATCACCTAGTCTAAATCTTCTAAAAATCTATTTTATGTATATATAGCCATTCATATATTGAAGTGCTATTTAAACAGTGTGGGGGAGAATATTTTGAAACACGAAATTTACTCGATATATAAAAGAAGAGAAATATTGCAAAATCTTATATACACGGGAATAAGTTGTACTGGCGAGTGTATCATATACGTTTTATTCAAATCTATTTTGCTGGATACGTGCACCTACGGTACTCCAACACTGTAAAAGTATTGCTATAATGTAACAAAATGCACGGCAAGGCGGAATAATGTGGGCTATTAGATTACAGGGGTTAATTCTACATGTACATCTCGTTACATCATCAAATACTGAAGAGTGATAAATGCAAGAGTGCAAATGCATATAAAAATTGCTCGCTACGTTCGCGAACTATTATAGCCAGTCGCAGCGTCTTGTGCGACAGAGCTCATGTCACATTTGTCGGAGAAATGTTCACAGAAATGCAATATTGGTCCGTTAAATGCAAATTATGCGTTGCGTAAAACGCTAGGAAGATTGAGGATTAAATACGCTTTGCTTATGTAATGATGCGGTAGTACACAAAACGACAGGGAATACTTTTATTAAAAAATCCGTTTTATTTTGTCTTTCTTTTTTTTTACGATCCTGTGCACTATTACATATTGCCGATATGATTTACGTCGCAACAAGTCGCACACATCAATTCTGCCAGAAGATGACTAAAATCTTTTTACAACTGTTTCTCTATTTGTTTCTCCCATTAAAATCCGACTATGTCGGGGACAATTTGTACCAAAAAACAATGAAAAATTCTACAACAGTTGCGAGCTCCGTCACACGGTCTGTGCTGGACCTCTACCGGAATTGGATTTTCAATGGTTTCGCTTCCTTTTATAACATCTGTTGCATCAATTGTTCTATTTAGTTAAAACAATAGCAAAGGGGGAAATGACCGTACACTTCATGGGGCGATTAAAACACAATTTGCTTAGTTAAGAATATTCGCGCGTATACTATAAAACAATGAAGTCTAATTCCATAACGAAGCTGTTCAATTAGACTAATATGATGATTTTTAAATATTCTAAAATATTTAACAATGGTTGATCTATCGTCGATAAATGCATCCGATCCGGCATTGTATTGCAACTGCCTTTCGTGAAACTCATGAACATGACACGCGAACACGCGTTCATGACACACAAACGTCATTTCCTTCTTTGCTATACACATCCCAAGGACACATTGTCATTAATTTACACTTCTTTTCCCTCCTCAATGATTAATAATTCTAATGAAGGTACGTACACGAAAGATCGATTGGAAAGTCGATAGAGTCACTATTGAAATAAAACAGGCTTACGTAAATTAGCGTGTATAATTCGTGCAGTCTGATTAAAAATTTGCTCATTTAGCTCGATTAAGTCGGAGTATCGAACTTTCGTGTACGTGGGAGGGAGCTACTAAATACAGCTAAAAATCTATGAGACTGCAGTTACATTTCCCGAATCTGAAAACACGTAGCGCTCGTTTATCCATTTTCTTCAGATGAAAATTTAATACACTACAAGTTGCTCTTCTTCTTACTGGTTTGTAAGTAGTCAGCGTGTATCAGCGAGGAAAAAATCGATTTGCTGTTGCCAGACTGAGTTAACTCACAATCAGTTCAAGAAAGAAATTCTTCAAGACCTGAACAAGGAAACTTACAATGGGCTCCATAATATAGGCTCGGTTCGCTTTTACTTGCATAATGCGCCCATTATATCTAGATGGTTATTGTGCCGTATTGTTAAGAGATACCATCACACGAAAAACCGAAAGAGTGAAGGAAGAAATGACTGTTCATACCCGGTGTGTCGGATTATGAACGAGATTTGTACTATGCCTGTCGTCACATATATAATGCGGTATTCCATGGCAAAAAGAACTAGAAAGAGAACTGCCTATACCTAGTCCTCTCTATTGCTAAGCATTGGCGTAAGAAATCGGTGGCTTCGGTGATGGTAGCGACACGGGAATTGAAGTATCGCGGACGAAATTGTTTTTTCTTCTTATTTGAAATAACACGATTACTTCTCTGAGAGGAAGATAAAAAGGGAGATAGAGTTAGAGAAAGAGAAACAGAGATGTTCTATCAAATATCTAAGACCGAGAAACGCCGAGACCAATTTAAAATACATCCTCTCATCAATCGAGAATCAGCTTTTTTGGTTGCTCCCATGTGAAACCGTCTCGTCCAAAGTGACCGTATGTGCTGGTTTGTTGATAAATAGGGTTGCGAAGGTTTAACTCCCTACAAAAAAGATAATTACACTCTTAATTTATTTATCTTCATGTACATTTGATGTATTATATCACATTATTCAATAAATTATATCACACACATCATATAGTCGTTGCAATATATCATAAGTAAAACAATATTTATCATAACAGTTTGCGTAACACAAGTTATATTAAAGTTACGGGAAAAATGTTAAAATTATTTAAATATACGTACTTGACGATCTTTCCGGGTCGTAAATCGAAGTTCTTGTTCACTATGTCTAGGAGCTCGTTTTGAGAACGCGTGGATGTTCCATAATCGAAAACTGTGATAGACAATGGTTCCGCCACTCCAATGGCATAGGAGACCTAATATAAATAATCGTAAATTTTTTCATAATACACACAAAGATATACAATTTTCTTAAATTTCATTACAAAATAGTTGTGGAAATTGCTTTTTTTATTTGAACAAGAATAAAGCTTGACGTTTGTGAATTTTACCTGTACAAGACAGCGTCTGCAAAGGCCAGCCTTTACCAAAGACTTGGCAACCCATCTCGCAGCGTATGCAGCTGATCTGTCCACCTTCGTAAAATCTTTACCGGAAAATGCACCACCACCATGCGCTCCCCAACCACCGTACGTGTCTACGATGATCTTCCGTCCGGTAAGACCAGCGTCACTCTAAAATTTTAAATAAGAATGTATCAGAGTAACTTGCAAAATATGTTGCACATTTTTATTCAAGATCGATTAACATCTGCATTGATTACATTATATAATACTTGGGGACTTTAATAATACCTGTGGACCACCGATAATGAAAAGCCCGCAAGGATTCACATGGAAGATTGTTCTCTCGTCTAAATATCTCGCGGGTATTACTTCTTTGATGACTTTCTCCATAACCGCCTTCCGGAGTTCGTCTAGACCGATTTTTTCGCTATGTTGCAGTGATACCACAACAGTATGGACTCTTATAGGTACGCAGGCTCCATGGTCCATGATATATTCGCAGGTTACCTGTCGTATACATAATTACACATACGCCTTATATAAATTATACATTAATTTTTTAAGTTATTAAAATATTATAAAAAAAAGTATATTTAATGGATTATTCTCAGCTAGGTTTTTATCATCATAGCATTCAAGAGTAGCAAATACATAAAATACATCATTGAATAATCATCTCACTGTCCATGAACTTTTTTTTCTTATTGTCTAGGTCTCTGAGCGTGAAAAGTATCGGAAATGATTAGATTAGAAATTTTTCGACTTCCAGGCGCATCTTCCGACAAATTTTTTAAATTTCATATCGATACTGACACTCTTCCGCTTGTTTTATCTTATCAAATTTATCGAACTTTGCCCTTTGTAAATTAAGATAAATAAGAAGTATATACAAACATATGAAAATCAAACCTGTGTTTTTGAATCTGGACGAGCCCACCATAGTTCTCCACTTCGTCTTAGCTCGGCGATTTTCTGATTCAATTTATGTGCCAGCACGACTGTCAATGGCATACATTCGTCGGTTTCATCGGTCGCGTACCCGAACATTAGACCCTGATGAAAGAAATTGAGTTATTCCAGCTAAAATTTATAAGATATAAGCTTCAAGCATCGAACAGACTTTGTACATATAATTTCAAATATGTAGATAAATTATTTGAAATTACGTGCTGTCAGAATATAAAAGTAAAAATTGTATTTTTATGCGTGAAAGAAAAGAAAGCTTAATTAAAAATTGAAAAGCTTTTGTAAAGCGTAAATTATTGCACAAGTATGTGGTATTATACAGTGTATCCCATTTTAAAGTTTTCAATGTTATATCTCGCGAACCGATGATTTTATTAAAAAATGTTTCAGACGAAAGTTGTATGGTTTGGAGAGGGACACGTGATCCAGATGTGAGTCATGTCGTAGATGTCATCGTTTTCAAGAAATTTTGAAGGTGACTAATTTCTTAAATAGAACTTGATTTTTTCCTTGAGATAAAAGTTGTAGATCTCGTCGAGACGTTTTCAAAACACTGTAATAAAGCTTTTTTTTGTTAAGAATTTCCTGAAATATTTTAAATTTTGACTCAATATTTTTAATGTAAAATATGAAATATCTCATAAAGTATTCATCATGTTTCGATGTCTTGACTTTCATACTTTTATACATAGAATAATGAAAGAAATCGAATAATAATATTATTATTATTTATAATAATAATAATAATAATAATTAATAATATTAATTATTATTTATAATAATTAATAATATTAATTATTATTTATAATAATTAATAATATTAATTATTATTTATAATAATAATAATATTATTGTTATTATTACTCAAGAAAAAAATCAAGTTTCATTAAACAAATTTCTTGAAAACAATGGCATCTACGACAGGACTCACATCTGGATCATGTGTCTTCCTCCAAACCATGCAACTTTTGTCTGAAACATTTTTCAGTAAAATCATCGGTTCGCGAGATATAGCACTGTAAACTTTAAAATGGGACACTCTGTATATATCTATGAGAAATATGAAGCAACATCTAATAAAAGGTGCCATACAGAACAGAACAGAAGTGATATAAATATGACAAAAGGGATATACTCATTAATAATTAAGTTAACATTAATAAACAACTTAATTTACAAGCTATTTACATTTCACACACCATTAATTACATAACCAACTAACTAGTTTACATAACGACTACTTAACGAATTCGTTTAAGGGGTTACACCACTGCAACTGTCCATTTTCTTTGGTATTTTTTTTTTAGAAAGGAATGAAATATATGGTCAAAAGAACTTTTAGGCTTTATTAGACGTATATTAAAGTATGTAAAAAAATTTTTTATTTGTTAAAAAAATACAAAATGGCGGCGCACGAGTCGCCATAGCACTACTCTGCGGCGCGCAGTATAAGTCCAACAATTTTCATATTATTCACTCCAAATTTTGAGCATATCTTTAAAATAACACTCCGAAGAGAAATACGTGCGGGATTTTCGATAACTTGATTCTAACATTATTTATTAACAAATGATTGCCCCTTTTTTTGTCAAAAATTGAACTGTTTACTTCAAATGCTCACCAATCACACAAAAATTAATATTTTCAAAATCCCCTACGTATTTCTTTAGCTATACTCATGTAGATTAAGAAAAAATTTTTTTGTTTTTTTCTAGATTCAAATTTGCGTGAGTTATACTGCGTGCCGCAGAGCGCGCATGCCTCGCGAGAATGGCTGCAGCGTCGTCATTTTGTACCATTATTGAATAATGAATTTTTTTTGTACACTTAAAAACATGATTAATTACATCCTTGAGAATAATATTATCCTCTTACTTTTCCTTCCATCTAAAAAAAAAAAATCGCAAAAAAACGCTTTACTTTAGACTTCTACAGTGGTGTAACCCCTTAAGAGTATGGTCAGTGGCCAATCTCTTTTGGTTACAATTACTTAACAATAAATTCTTAACTACGGGTTAACGTTACACTAAGATCATGTTATCCTACTAAAGACGTTATTAATCTACAATAATATAAAACATGCAAGTGCTTCCAAATCTATGGAATCTACAATAACGTAAAACATGCAAGTGTTTCTATATCTATCTACATGAAATTTCTTGCACTAATTGTATATATCCTACACGCTCATTCACTTCTTATATATATACCATACCATATCCCGCTAAAGAATCAACGACAGAATAACATTTGTAGCAATGCATTCAAACTACCGTGATAATGTAACAAATATGTGAAGAACACTCAAAATGTCATATACCACTTCCACCTCTATAGTGAAGAAATAAAAATAGGCCAGTAGGGTTACAAGAAGAAATAAAGAAGTGAAATGTTACTTATACAACTACTGTAACTTGTACTTAGTAGCGCAGGAGGCAAACGGTCAAAGAGAATAAAACAGGAGATAAAAAGAAGAGGAAATTCAACGATGGCAATGCTAATTGACCTGATCTCCTGCTCCCACTTCCTCGTCGCTACGGTTTTCGTGAACGCCTGCCGCGATATTTGGTGACTGAGCGTCGAGCGCCAACAGAACATTGCACAGCTTGTAGTCAAAACCTGTAGAAATCATTGTAGTGAGACAAAGATATTCGCTGCTGTTTTACGCGTCGACGTTGTCCTTGCACGAAATTCCGCCATTTTGGTGCATTGGGTTTTTAACAGACCACGTTGATCCCTCAATAATCCTGGAGTGACTAAAACTAATACAATGGCTGCATGTACGAGTTCGGGCACGAAAACTTCATGAAATATTGGAGATAATACTGAATCAAATTCTTTTGAAACTATTTAGTGTATATTATATTTTTTTATAATTTCATAATTTTATATTTTTTTTTATAATTAGACAACGAATTTATTACGAGTAAATTTTACGCATATGAGTGTATCCGAACATAGTACATACAGCCTCACTTTCTATATACATGATAACTAATATCGGCACTTTGTTGGAATTGCATTCCAGTGCTTTGTAAACCATCTCTCCGAGACATCTCTGCCAAATTAGACATTTCTCCTGTATGATTGACGTAACATTGCGAAGAATTTTTCAAGAGATATTTTGCGGTATTATCTTACAACGATAATGCTTAGATAACTCGCACAGGTGCTTGCATTCTCACCTGCGCACACGCACGCACGCAGGCACACGTAAGATGTAACACACGCTTGTGACACACAGAATAGCAAAACAGATTTGAGAACGTCTGAAGTTTAAAGGAGGTCAGAGGAAAGAGGATAGTAAGAACCAAGAACATGGGGTAGATCGTTGACATTGAATTATTTTTAGCTGTTCTGTGGCACGGGCTGAGAATGGGTTATGTACCTGGTCACCTGCACCCACGTCCATCTCTTGCCTGTCCGTATGGACACCATCCGCGATATTTGGGGATTGTTGTTCGATCGCCACCAAAAGGTTCAACGTACGCCAATCGAATCCTGCCACGATATGCTTACGTTACACAGTCTTTATTCATTCTTTTTGCATGATCTTTTTTTGTCCGAAAGGTAATGAGCAGAATACTGATTATCCGAGCGATCGAGACATGGAGGAACCAAGTCAAACATCTCAATGTGTGTACAAAGAAGAATCCTTATACTCATCTTAGTATTACCATTAATGTTCGATATAAGAAAACAGAAATCACAATGTTTGGTGCTTGAATCTTTTGCGCCATGATTCGATCGTGTTGTCGTGACAATTCGATGAAGGACAATTGTATGAGGCGAATTTTATGAGGACGAGGGAGCTGGCTATCTATTCACAGAGCATGCATGTGTTACATGAGTAATGATTAAAGTCTCTTTATCGCGAGTGTAAAGATTTTAATTTTTCTCGCGCAAACATAGAATTAACATCCAACAAAGTGTCAGACAATCGGAGAAAGTGACAGACGTGCATCATTGAGACCTAAGGGCAGATATAACGCGCGTATCGCGTCGATCTGTTGCTGTACCTTTTGAAGAATCGTCGTAGCCGATGTGTTGCACTGTATCCCGAACGATCTTCTGATAATCCACCACAGCCTTTGATGTAATCTCCCCGCACAGAAGTATCATCCCAGTTTTCGTTACAGTTTCTATTGAAAATAAAAAAACTCGATTAAGTATAGTGTAACATCTACATAACGAACATATAGAATATATTTAAATGTGATTATATTGAAGGAATGTTATATAAAGTAAATGTTAAGGCAGCCATGTATATATACTTGGGAAATCATTCTTTTTTCTTTCAAAGATTGCTCGTTTCAATAATATATTGCAAATGCAATAGATGCAAGAGTCAAAAGTTCCGGGCTAGAACTAGTTCAGGGCCGAACAAACTAATGTATAAATAGAATACATATTCATACATGATACGTGTTTAAATGCCTGTAGAAATCAGCACTGTCTTGGCGAAACTTACCGCATGCTACTTTAGCGTCGGGGTCTTGTGTCAGGTGTGCATCTAAAATGGCGTCACTTATTTGATCACACATTTTGTCTGAAAAATAACATAAGACATATAAATATATAATACTAATCAAAGTGAATCATTAATCAAAACCGTTAGAGGATTTCTAATATCTATAAACATGATTAAAACATAATTAAAACCTTGTTAAGAAAGTAAATATAAATGTAATAAACAAAAAATGAGAGAGAATAAAGGACCCCGCCATATCCTTGTGGAAATTGGGTTTCGGTGACATTAGCTGAAACTTTGGAAATAAATAGTTTATGTAATGCTGATCAAAAGTCACAATGAGCAAAATTCACAATAATCAACCGTTTAGATGCTATCAACGATCATAAGTCAAAATAAGATGTTATTTCAGTACTATTGTGGTACAATGGATTTCGATATAATCGGCTGAAACTGTAGAAATAGATAGTTTATATGATGCTGATTGAAAGTTATAATGGGCAAGATTCACAATAATCGTCATAATCGATCGTTTAAGCGCTATCAGCGTTCAAAAGTTAAAATAAGGCATTATGTCAGTACTATTGTGGGACATTATTCTACAGAATCACTTATTCCTCTTGTTAATAGAAAAATATGTATTTATGTGAAAAAAATGTATATGCATGTATGTGAATCATGTTATAAGATTATAGTTCATATATGTATATACACATGCATGTATACATATTTTCTTCACATAAATACATATTTTTGTATTAACAAAAAGAATAAGTTGTATGATTCTGCAGAATAATACATTGCAGTCCACTGTCTTACAATAGTGTTGACATGCAGAACGTTTTATTGACTTTTAATCGCTGATAGCATCTAAACGGTTGACTATTATGAATCTTGCCCATTGTGACTTTTGATCAGCATCACATAAACTATTTATTTCCAAAGTTTCAGCTAATTTCACCGAAACCCAATTTCCATAAGAATATGGTGGGGTCCTTTATTATTATATAAAGGAATACTAGCATAATAATTAATTTTAATTCTGTCTGTATTGTAATTTAAGAAAAGCAGCGAATCGCTAATCCAAGATTAGTTCGCCTAAATTGCTCACGTAACTCGTTTCTTTCTTTATCTTTGATATAATTAGAGCCGAGATGTAGAGAGGAAAAACAAGTCATTAACCGCAGAGATAATTAGCAACGTACGAGCCGATTGCGAAAAATTAATTTACTATTCGTTATTTTTGAAACAGTTGAAGTTAAAAGACAAGAATAATCGCAACAGGATGTGTAAAAATTAGTTACATACAAAATCGAACATTTAAATAAATTCGGAAATAGTATTGTGATTTTTTTAGAATGTTAGTGAAATTTCATGACAACCATCATGGATTGGGTATCAGAAATGAAGAAATTTACACAAACAATTGTTATATATATAAATTTTCATAGGCATTTTTTTTAAAATAAAACTATTCGAGGAGAGAGTTGCATGAAGCACAGACATATGGAACACCGCAAAACTGTTATCAGCTTCATAGGCCGGATATTCATAGTAGGATCTTATATTTAAGACTATCTTAAGTAAAATCTTAAGATGTAATGAACCAATCACAGAGCCGTATTAGCATCTTAAGACATTACTTAAAACGGTCTTGAAATAAGATCCGACTATGAAATACCGGTCATAGAATTATTATGTTCTTAAATGTTAATTTGTTTTTGTATTACAAGATTACTTTATCAAGTCAAAGCTATTTCGAGCTATGATCTTTTTACGATTAGTTGAAAAAGTCCCTTGCGCGATTTGAGATTTCCCCATTCCTGACATCATATCCTGTAAGATGACTAATACAGATAACGTTGAATCGTTGATATAATCGTGAATTATAAGGCTTACGGTTTAATAATGAATCATTGGAAAAGCATTAAAAAACGAGAGTTGGGAAAAAGGAGAATAAAACAAATGTGATAAAGAAAGAAGAAAAAAGACGCTGATTTCTGGTTCAGTAATGAATAATAATAATAATAAATGATAATAAACGTTTGTCAGTCACAAACCCTCTGTGATCAATGGCGGTCGTTTAGAGAACGTTTCGGTTGGAAGTAGAGAAAAAAGGGGTAAGAAGAAGAAAGCATTGTGTCTCAAAAGGAACAGATGTTCGTGAAACGAGAGCACTAAAGCAGCACTTCATATGTCGCGCTTTCGAGACATGAAACAATTTTTTTATTATATATAATATATATAACAAAGATGCTTTATGTGTGTGTGTGTGTGTGTGTGTGTGTGTATATAAATTATAAATATTTTAATTTTATATTACTTGATATGATCTTCGCGCATTCTATAAATTTCGGATACATCTATCAAATGCCGCGTTTGGCGATTGTTATCATTGAGATTAAGACATGTATCAGTGTATCTAAAGAGTATTAGATAAAATAAATATTTGACGAATATTCAGATTTACGCGTCTAGTGTAAAATAGTGTATCTGCGTTTGTAAATAAAGAATAATATTTTTGCAATTAGTAATTTCAATAGCTATAAGAAATTAAAATAATAGGTTAATTCCTGTACACCTACTTTTGTTACTAACATACATTACGGCAGCTTTGTTAGTGCCCTACTTTTTACATGTTTTCCATATTCATGTTCTTTGTAATTATTCGACTTATCATAAACAAATGTATGTAATGATATGAAATTATTATTCACTACGACCAAACGTCGCAATTTCAAGCGTCGGTCTCTCACGGGCTCTAAGGCCAGTTCTGGAAGATTCCAACGGGTATAGGACAAAAGGAAGCACAAAGCGAGAAGGGGGGTCCCCGAAGCCTGTTCGTGTTACTCAACATAGCTTCATGTTTCTCTTTCTTTCTCTCTTTCCAAGAAGTCTGCGATGCCTACAACAATCAAGTTATATCTTATTTCTACTCCAGAAGCAGACAATCGGCACGATAACGATTTAACGCTTCAAGTCAATCGATTCCGAGAAGAAACATCAACAAACATTTGAGCGGCGTCGACGAACGACCAGCCGCGCCACCTAGGTCGCGAACAGAATCATCTAGAAGCTCTAGAAAATGGCGAACTTCCTTTCGCGCATGACAAACGATCGCTTGATGCACGCAGACTGGATTCGTAGAAATACCAGTGGATTCGTGACAATGAAGCTCGTAATAACGAAGCAATAAGGAAGTAATAACGAAGAGAATTCGTAGAACGACCGCATTCCATCTTCCCGACCGGTCTTGCCTTAGCAATTAGCTGTTCCCTTTTCTCACAGTCCTATCACTTCTATCTATAACACAGAGAACGGTTGATCTCGATTAGCCTGCGTTAATGCTAATGCATGCTAACGTAATGCATTTTTACATATTTACATACGAAATATACGTAACTCAACGTTGACTTGTATCGATTCAGCAGCATCTGCGCTTCGGTGAACCGTTCAAGAAAAGAATCTAGAATGGAAGAGGTTTTTCGGGTTTCATCAAGCTCGTTCCAGAAAGAGGCTTTTACCAGATAGCAGAGACCTTGCATCTGTTCCTTGTGTCTCGTTGCATTTTCTGCACTCGAGACGAAATGAGTAATCAGACTCAATAGAGAGAAAACGGGATAAAAGGGACGGAAGGTTCAACTGCAAAGAGCCAAGCTTCTAACGAAACTATAGTCCTGTATCCTGTTTCTAATCGCGTTAGGCGTCTTTCGTGTCTATATGTATCTCGAATTTTTCGGTACATATCTGCGGTATACGTATCTCGGAGCAACGGTCTCCCTATCTAAAATGAGATGCGGAAAGGCGCCGCTAAGGCACGGTACGGCACGGCACGGGTCCATTCAGGCCAATTTCGGACACGACGCAACCGGCGTCCACCGAGCCGAGCGCGGTTCGCGCGCGCCGATCGCAGCGCGATCGGCGCCGCGAGCACATGGCGGCGGCGCGCCAGCCAGCGGCAATGTGCCATGCCCCCGGTCCCGGCCAGGTCACGCCGCGTCGGCGAGAAAATATGTAGAAACGTGGAGATCCCTTTGCGACCCGTTCGCTCGTGATTCGAGCAAACGCCTTTTTTTAGAGCACAATCCCGGCCGGGAAGGGAACGATCGGCGGAGTGTCACGGGAAGGCGGGAGACGAAAGACGTGTATGGGGACGTGTATGCGTCAATCGAGATGAGATCTCGATCGGGGGACAAGATGAAAGGGTAGGTAGGTAGGTAGGTAGGTAGGAAAAAGCGCGCGGTACGCGCGCCCGGGATCACACGGAGACGACTCTCCTTCATGATGGTGGTAGTGGCGGCGGCAGTGGTGGTGTGGTGGTGGTGGTAGTGCGAAAGCCGCAAGAGGTACAGGGGGACGTAGACCGAGAAAGAGAGAAAGAGACAGATAGAGAGAGAAAGAGAGAAAGATGAAAGCTTTTCCGACCGATAATGCAGGGTCGCCCGATAAGGCCCGGCGAGGGGTTGGTCGTCTCACGGGTGGTCCCCCCCGGGCGGCGGGGGGAGGGAGAAGGGAAAAAGACTGCTTCTCTTACCTGGGTGTCCCTCGCCGACCGATTCCGAGGTGAAGAGGAACGAGGTGTCCTGCTGCAGCTCGGGCGGCGCGTGGCCGTTCGCGTAGCCGTTCATATGGTGCGCGGTCTCCGGCATCTTCCTGCGTTTCGGGGTCGTCGCCGCCGTTGTCGCCGTGTCGTCTCTCGTAACGGGTGTAGTTGTCGTCAGTCGTCACTCAGAATCGTTGGAGGGGCAGGTGCGGGGGGGTCGATCGGTCACCGCCGCGCCGTCGTCGAGCACCGCTGTCGTGTACGGCCGCGAGCGAACTCGTCTCCTCCACTGACTCCACGTGCCTCTGCCTCCTCCTCCTCGATGCCGTCGTTGTCGCCGTCCTCGTCGTTTCCACTCCGCCGCGCCTCGCTCCGAGTTTCACCGAGCCCGCTTAAAAAGGTCGGTGGGGTGCAATCGAGCCGCGTCTCTCTTCACCAGGGCTGTACCCCGCGTGGCTCTTCTTCGAGAGGAGAGGATAGACGCGACAGTCGCGACCGCGAGCGAGCACGGCGTGCACGAGAGGGAGAGCGGGTCGGGTGTCGGGAAGTGAGCGCGCGAGCTCCACACAGGCACACGGCACACCGCGTAATGATCGGGGAGTTATCGGAACGAATGGGACGAGACGAGAGACGACGCGCCGCGGCGCGTAGCGGGAAGTGAAAGAGACTCCCCGCCGCCTGTCGTCCTCTATTTATAATCTCGGTTCCGCCTGCCCGCGCGGCCGACAGGCACCACGGTCACGTGACGCGCTCGGGCGCACGGCGCGGAATTCGAGTCGGGATCGGAGATCGGACGGACGACGCGACGTCTCGAGCGCGTGTCTCTCTCGCCGCGTCGCGCTGCGCCGGTTTTTCCGCTCCTCCGCTTCGTTTCTCCGGTCGCCCTCCTCGACTCCACGTGCTTCCCCTGCGAAAAAACGAAACGCAAGTTAGAGGTCAGAGTCTCTCCGAGGACGCTTGCTGGGGATTATTCTATCGCGAAACTGGGTAATCGTATTGGCGATTATTCCTCTTGGGAGAGTACTTAATTTCTGAAAACGTTTAGTTAAATGGTTTATTTTCTGAAAAAGATGCAACGTTTTGACGAGTTTTAGAGAACAGATATACACTCTGATACTGATGCTACGTCATTTTACAATTAGTAAGATGAATTTGTATAACTTCATTGCAATTTCATTTTTTATCTATATTTATCTATTATAGTTATACATATACTCTAATAAAAAATTTTTCATATTTTCTCTGACTTATAAAAAATTCTGAAAAAATGTATAAAATTTCTCAGGTACTCAGAAATAATTAGATGCGGATTTTCTGAATATTTCAGTATCCGTATGTATTATACATATACAGTATCCACATGAAAAATATTTTCTTATATTTTCTTAAAAATTTTGTAAGAATTGAGACTTAAGAGAAATTCCGAGAAAATACATAAAATTTCTCAGATACTTTTTTAGGTACTTAAAAATAATTAGATGAAGATTTTTGAAATACTTCAGTATCCGTGTGTATGAAAATTTCTGATAAATTACACAGACTTTCTCATATTTATTCAGATTTTTACAAAGATGTGTTGGCGGGAAAAATCTGAAATGTTAAATCATTTGCTATTTTATTGGAGTTTTTCTGAAAAACGTTCCAATTCTTATAAAAAAATTCTGATAAGTTCTGAGCATTTAGAGAAAGTCTGAAAATTTTTATAGAAATTCTGATTAATATGGAAAATTCTGAAACATTTTTGCACCAGAGTATATACATACATATATGTACACCGGCAAAAATTTGAACTCACCGGAAATAAATACAAAAAGTCAAGATTAATTATTAAAATAAATGATTATGACATTATTTCTTAGATTTCTCAGACAAAAACGATACTGTATATTACGTAATTTATTTAATTACCCAAGATGCATTTATTTTTTTTACAACAAGCACGGATATTTATTCATATCAATATTTACATAAAAATAGGTATGCAATTATAATTACAAATTATAATAAAAATTACACCATTAAAAAACTGTTATTAAAAAAAAAAAAAATTAAAATTTTCATTTAAGTCATCATAGGTAAAATCTTGTTAAACAAAATAATTTTTATTCGAAAGATTTATTTATAATTCTATTATTTAAAAAAATAACTGACAATGAGTGTATACACTTAAACACCCTGTATATCAAATATTTTCTATATATCCAAGTATTTCAAGAGTAAATATGAATATTTAATCCATATTAATGCGCCGGCAAGTACTTCAGATCTGACTAATATATCCGTTTATATTATGTTCGTATACATGAAATACTGTAAATAAAAGTATAAAAGTATAAAATTGTATAATATAATATGGTCAATTTCTATTTCCTTGATTGAAAATTCCCTGAATTTCCTGTTTTTAATTTGCTAAATTATTACACATAAGAGAATATGAGAATTGCATTGATAAACGCTATATTATTATATAATTAATATTTATTAATCGCTGTTTGTATCAAAAGATCTACTCAGCATTTTATAATGAACACTTTGAAACAATTATATTATTCTGTCAATCTCGCGTACATCAATAATTTCTCGAAACTGTCACGCGAGTAAATTAATTTTTCTATATATATTATATTGTATCATTTTCTAATATATTTAATAATTATTTCAATTATCATCTAAAAATTATTATCATTAGTTTATTATTGCAATTCTCTTTGATGAAATAAAATCAGTTTTGCTTTTAAATAACGATAGTCCAACCGTCGAAGTTAGAAGTTAGAAATTTGAATTCTTAAATCCGAGAACATAGATATCTAATAGATAGCTCGAAGGTGATGACACTATGAGAAGTTTACAATTTCTTTTGATACATTCAACGTTCCTCCTGGTTTATCAACATGACACTATGATCTCGACGAATAATCACTTATTAGGATTTGCTTCGTCATACTTTACATTTGGACCTTTTCATATTGCATCATGTGCCACAGTGATCTGCGAAAGTTACGGGATAAAATAAACTGTCCGTATCTCCAACCCCCTCGCGGCTTAACTCTAAACAATAAGTAGAATTTTCCGGATTTTTGCTCCTAATGTGCGCGCTAATTGCGGGAACGTATGTACATAGAAGCCGACAAGTGCAGCTTGGATACTTACCGATAACACCGGTCAAGTGCTTATCAGCACGTGATTCCAAATCGCGTTATCTTTGGAGTGCTTGAGAGCTTCTAAAAGGGCGAAATTTCGTGTTGTCTCGTTATAGAGCGTTGTCGCGTTTTCCTGACACAGCCGGAAATGTAATTTGCGCAAGACACAAGATGAAGCCGCGGTTGCGAAATTTGAGCACAAGATTCAGTGAGAGACCAACGTTATCGTTACTCGACTCGGAATTGCACTATACGAGAGTGTGCAAGCCGGCTAGACTTTTATATATCGCTCGAGATATTCCCGAGAAATTCTTGGAGTGGAGTGGGATCGGCGGACGCAGCTATATTAGGATGTTGAATGACACACCAGTTTTACAGTAAATTGCACAAGTGTTATTTATTTGTTCTCTCGGGGTGATATGTAAATATAATTGTAAATCTGTCCAACACACGATATGGAGATGATTTAGAAGTTGGAATAGAAGCTGGATTGTTGTTTGGATGATTTAGAGATGAATAGAAACTGGATTTATTCATCTAAGATTATTTAAGACCGAGATTTGTGGTACACATAATATGACTTTTGATAAAGGATTTATGGAATAAAACAGTTTTGACAACCAAGCTTGAATCAACAAATCTGTAGGAAGCTAAATAGCTTCAAGTCAAATTCGATAGAACTAAAAAGATCTAAAGCGAGCACTTGTATAATTGACAACCTATGGAACTGTTAAACTTCTGTATAACTTCGAATTAGAAGGTCTCGAATTAGGAATTCGACTAAACAAGAATTTGCAAAGCATCTATAGGATTAAGAATTTTTTTGTGAAATATGATAATATATTAGAAAATTAATAAAAATAAATTCTGTGTTTGCGGAAGCATACATTTAATTTTGCAAAAACAAGAACCTTAAGATCAGCAATTAAAAAATGTATCAACAAGTGACATCTTCGAATTTGCATTATCTCTTTGATAAAGCGTTATCTATATATTTTTTTTAATTATTGGTAACGTTTTACTTATTGTGAATTTTGTATATTTATTTTCTCAACAGATCGACTCGTGGAGAAACTTAATATGCAATACACGGATAACATGATGTAATCGTTAATGACGTTAAAATTGCCGATCACTTCATACGTCATACAGTACATTACTCGTAATAGTGACGAGTTGCGAATCATGTTAATGGACGTGAAACGATTGCGTGGCTGACTTAAGTTTCAACGCGATAGTGATTATCACCTCTAGTATCTCAGATACTCGATATAAATAGAAATGATTTTCTAGCTACTTAATTAAACAAACAGCAATCATTAGCTATAATAAATATAGACATATCTAATTAATATTAAATATAAATCTACGAATCTAAAGAAATTTTAGAGATTGTCGCAATTTCTTCTCGTATCGGTTTTCCTTCTCTATCGTGATAATTGCATATACATTGTGCATTTTTATGATTGATTTCATAATAGTGCATCTATAACGAAATTCAAAAGTTGGTAAATTAACATAATAATTAATGTGTATTATAAGTTAATTATCGTCGCTACAAATTGATTTATTTTATTGATAAATGCATATATATAATTGACAATTATCGTTTTCTAAAATTACACGCTTTATATTTAATACACGCTTGAATTAGAACAATAAATGTTATAAATTTAAAATCAACTACACAGTAAAAAACATTATGTATTTGTGTTAAAATTTTCCTGTGTAGAAAGTTTTGTGTTAAATTTCTGACACAGTTGTATGTTAATTTAACATATCGTTGTTGTGTTACTTAACTTTTCTATGTTAAATTAATATTAACCATTTTTAAGAGTTAAAATAACACAATTTATATATGTAAGTGCATGAATTCTTGGTGATATATTTTATAAGTTAAAGTGAACAGATAAATTGTGTTATTTTCCTTTTTATAACAGTTACTATGTGTTAAATTGACATAATTCTTATGTTATTCATCAAAAAAAGATCAAAACTAAAAATAAATACTTCTCTTAAATGTTAAAATAACATCTTATCTTAATTACATTTAACATTATAGAGATGTCAATTTAACATAAACTTGGATTTCTGAAAGCGTCTAAATGTTAAATTTTTATGTTAATTTTTTACATATTATGTTTGTTATTTTTTTACATATTTGCTTTATGTTAAATTAACACGAAAATTTGAGTGGATAAATTGGGACATGCATGTGAAATGTGTTAAATTTAACACAACATTTTTTACTGTGTATGATTTTATATAACTCAATTGCAATATTTGCGCATTTGAAGTATTTGATAGTCATTTTAGAATAAATCTCGACCAGGTTTTGCTTGTAAAAATGTTTAAACAAATTTTTAAAGTATGCACACGCGCGCGCGCGTGTATATGTGCGAATTGATTTGATTTGATTTTTATCTTGCTGAAAATGTCATCTGTTTGATGACTTGTTTAATAACTGTACTTTGCGATTTATATACTTTGCGACGTTGCTTTTTGTTGAAAAAGCTTAAGTTTCCGGTAAAAAAGAAATTTTCATTTCATTTGCATTGCACGAGCAGTGACACTGACTGTGAGCCACACTGATAATAAATTCAATAACTCACGATAATTTTAGTAACAACAGATATTTAACGGAAAGTAAATGAGGATCTTATACATTTTATCTCCTGTCGATGGCGTCAAATGTTATTTTTAAAAAATACATATATGTTCTCTGTTTATTGGCTCTGCTTTGCAAACAACTTGTCTTTGTCGTTAATTTCATAAAAAGAATACGCCAAGATTAATAATAAACCATGATTTTGTAATAACATTGCATACGCGGTGTTGTAATAACGATACACGCGCTGTCTCTTTTTGTATTCGCCGAAGATTATTTTAATGCAAAACAATCTCCGAAGGAGACTGGGAGCATAATCAGTGTGGCGAAATTCTCGATTTTTCTATCGCAATTAATGTAGGATTATTACCAGAGCCTGATTCGTCAACAGTGATTTAGTTAGTTGATATCATTGCTTTGCATAAGGCGATTTTTGTACGTTTCCGCTTTTCGATAATTTTATTTATTTGAATAAAATATATTTTGAAATTGGGCAACTATACTAGTAGCTACAATGAAAGCAAGTCGACATGAGACAGTGTACCAGTGATAATATTTTTAGTGAATACGCATTGCTTAGTGCTAAAAAGTGTTTCTACTTAATTTCAAGTTTAGTTCCAACTTTTAAGTTTTCCAACTTAAAAGGAAGCTATTTCATGAAAAAGAATTACTTAACTAACAATTGTAAATTCTGTCGTTTCTGCTCTTTCGTGATAAAAAACCGTTTAAAATATGAAATCTTAAAGGAAAAGTTCAGAAAAAGATTATTTATCGGACACGTAACATACGTAAGTTACCTATATATTCTTTTCGTAATGTTATCTCGAGTATGATGTTGATAGCTATTTATAAACTTTAAGATACTATTATACATATACTAATACCATTATGTCGTAGCAATGACGCAAAATATAAAATATGAGCCCTTATGATACAATGTTAAAAACAAGTATTTTGTTCCGTGATATATAATATCAGCAATTTAATATTTAAAGCTAAGAATACGATATAATTTGCATCAGTAGCAACAGATAACTGAGTAGTGGCGGCTAAAGTGCTGACTACATAGAAACTTATATGTACACGTGCACTGGATAGATCTTGAGTTCGTTAATTCTTCAGTTCAACATTGCGATTCAAGCGAAAAAAATTAAATCGAAAAAATAAACTGCATTTTTTTGTGCGAGGTCTTTGCTCTTAAGAAAATTAAATTTAAAAGTTTTATGTTCAAACCTGACCCATGTAATTGAATAACTTGTATGAATTGTTGAATAACTTGAATGTATAATTGAATAACTTGATTGGCGCGTCTATATTTATTTATTACTCTGCATTCTTTATTTATGCTACATTTTATTTTTAGTTGTAAATGTTAACATTGCAAGTGCAGCATTAGACTATTAGATTAACTTGACTACTGATTAACATTCATGTGAATAATCAGATATTTTTTTTATTATACGAAACATTACAAACAAATTTTTTTTAATTCGCAAAATTTTCAATTTTTTTCTTACAATTTTCCATTTTTCTCTTACAATTCTCTAATTGCAGAAAATTATAATATAAAGATGTTTTTACATTATCATATCTAAATGGTCGGAATTTTCTGCAATTGGAATTTTTGGCGACCTAAAGTATCATTATCTATCTATGTATATGTAAATTTTCTATTGTCAGCAACAAATTATTGATGTAAATTATTAATATAGATAATATCACTGCGACAATTTTTGAAAAATGTCACAAGAATTAAAGCAGAATATACGAAAAGCGGGAAAGGGAGAAGGAGAGCATGATTGTATCTCAAAAAAGCAAATATGCTTAAAGAAGAAAGAAAAGGAATGTGACAATATATGCGAATGTAATTGGATTATCAATTTTTCATCTCGTTAACATAAAATTGGTCGATAAATTATAATCGTTAATTGCAACGCATGATCGAAATTTGACATTTCCAGCACAATTGCGATTTGTTACTGTGCTTCTTCACAATTTTGTATTAAAATCAATCAGGTTTTTTTTACTTGCTGACAATTAATTTTTTTATTTAGCTCTTCGGTATGCAATTTAAAATAAGATATCTTCCCGCGATAATAATTTTTACCGCGTTTAATCATTTATTTTTTCACATTTTTTTGCAAAACTATGCTAGAATTTCCATAAAAACATGTTGCTATAAACATTTGATAAATTCAATAATATCAATGATATCAGTAGGCTTTGTTGCAACATGTAATCCATACAAAGCTGTTTGTCTGGATTACTTGTAAAATAACATGCAAGATTAATGGTAAGTTTGATGAGCAAGTTTCCTGATTCTTATTGAATATCGCACTTCTCACTCGTGATCCATTGGAACAAAAGCACGTGAATCCTATTGCAAGTTGCTTGACACACATACATGTTTTGATAATTCCATTATCGTTACTACTTTGCATTCTTTACTCTATATTATGCACTGTCTGAAAGCCACTGGACGCTCTCTTCATGAAAGTATCAAAATATTCATAATCTTCAAGTCATAAGCAATTAAAAATTAAAATTTTTTCGCGAATTAAACTTCAGAGAGTCAAATGAAGAATAAGACTAGATATCTGAATTAATTTTAGGTGGGTATAACACAATAGGTGGGTTAACAAATTTTA